ATAGGGAGTTCGGATTTTTTATAGGTCCTATTTTTTGCAAAATAATACGACTTACCAACATTCAAAAGGAAACTATTGTGGAAACCCCTATTTTCAAGGGATCCCCTAAAGGAAAATGGACAAAAAATCTAAAAAATATTTTGTCTCAGGGTTTTGATGCAGAATGGTGGAGAATCGATCCAGAAATCGTTTAAGGTACTCCGCTTGAGAATCGGATGAGAAATGGGGAAGATACAGCCATCACAGTGGACCCCATAGGGGAAAACCCCATTTTCAAGGGATCTCCTCAGGAAAAATGGACAAAAAATTCAAAAAATATTTTGTCTCAGGATTTTGATGCAGAATGGTGGAGAATCGAGCTAGAAATCGTTTAAGGTACTCCGCTTGAGAATCGGATGAGAATCGGGGAAGATATAGCTATCACAGTGGACCCCATAGGGGAAAACCCCATTTTCAAGGGATCTCCTCAGGAAAAATTGACAAAAAATTCAAAAAATATTTTGTCTCAGGATTTTGATGCAGAATGGTGGAGAATCGAGCTAGAAATCGTTTAAGGTACTCCGCTTGAGAATCGGATGAGAATCGGGGAAGATATAGCTATCACAGTGGACCCTATAGGGGAAAACCTCATCTTCAAGGGATCCTCTCAGGAAAAATGGACAAAAAATCTAAAAAATATTTTGTCTCAGGGTTTTGATGCAGAATGGTGGAGAATCGATCCAGAAATCGTTTAAGGTACTCCGCTTGAGAATCGGATGAGAATTGGGGAAGATACAGCCATCACAGTGGACCCCATAGGGGAAAACCCCATTTTCAAGGGATCTCCTCAGGAAAAATGGACAAAAAATTCAAAAAATATTTTGTCTCAGGATTTTGATGCAGAATGGTGGAGAATCGACCTAGAAATCGTTTAAGGTATTCCGCTTGAGAATCGGATGAGGATTGGGGAAGATACAGCCATCACAGTGGACCCCATAGGGGAAAACCCCATTTTCAAGGGATCTCCTCAGGAAAAATGGACAAAAAATTCAAAAAATATTTTGTCTCAGGGTTTTGATGCAGAATGGTGGAGAATCGATCCAGAAATCGTTTAAGGTACTCCGCTTGAGAATCGGATGAGAATTGGGGAAGATACAGCCATCACAGTGGACCCCATAGGGGAAAACCCCATTTTCAAGGGATCTCCTCAGGAAAAATGGACAAAAAATTCAAAAAATATTTTGTCTCAGGATTTTGATGCAGAATGGTGGAGAATCGAGCTAGAAATCGTTTAAGGTACTCCGCTTGAGAATCGGATGAGAATTGGGGAAGATACAGCCATCACAGTGGACCCCTTAGGGGAAAACCCCATTTTCAAGGGATCTCCTCAGGAAAAACGGACAAAAAATTCAAAAAATATTTTGTCTCAGGATTTTGATGCAGAATGGTGGAGAATCGATCCAGAAATCGTTTAAGGTACTCCGCTTGAGAATCGGATGAGAATTGGGGAAGATACAGCCATCACAGTGGACCCCATAGGGGAAAACCCCATTTTCAAGGGATCTCCTCAGGAAAAATGGACAAAAAATTCAAAAAATATTTTGTCTCAGGATTTTGATGCAGAATGGTGGAGAATTGAGCTAGAAATCGTTTAAGGTACTCCGCTTGAGAATCGGATAAGAATTGCCGAAGATATAGCCATCACTGTAGACCCTATAGGGGAAACCCCCATTTTCAAGGGATCTCCTCAGGAAAAATGGACAAAAAATCTAAAAAATATTTTGTCTCAGGGTTTTGATGCAGAATGGTGGAGAATCGATCCAGAAATCGTTTAAGGTACTCCGCTTGAGAATCGGATAAGAATTGCCGAAGATATAGCCATCACTGTAGACCCTATAGGGGAAACCCCCATTTTCAAGGGATCTCCTCAGGAAAAATGGACAAAAAATCTAAAAAATATTTTTTCTCAGGGTTTTGATGCAGAATGGTGGAGAATCGATCCAGAAATCGTTTAAGGTACTCCGCTTGAGAATCGGATGAGAATTGGGGAAGATATAGCCATCACAGTGGACCCTATAGGGGAAAACCCCATTTTCAAGGGATCTCCTCAGGAAAAATGGACAAAAAATCTAAAAAATATTTTGTCTCAGGGTTTTGATGCAGAATGGTGGAGAATCGATTCAGAAATCGTTTAAGGTACTCCGCTTGAGAATCGGATGAGAATCGGGGAAGATATAGCTATCATAGTGGACCCTATAGGGGAAAACCTCATCTTCAAGGGATCCTCTCAGGAAAAATGGACAAAAAATCTAAAAAATATTTTGTCTCAGGGTTTTGATGCAGAATGGTGGAGAATCGATCCAGAAATCGTTTAAGGTACTCCGCTTGAGAATCGGATGAGAATTGGGGAAGATATAGCCATCACAGTGGAAGAAATAGCGCCCTTCTCCTCGATTCTCACTGGTTGCACTTAAGCACTGAATTGCAAATGCCATAACTGCCCATCTGATATTATATTATAGCTCCAACTTAACTGCAAGGGTATACCAAATTCGACTCTAAAGGAAGTAGGCTTTCCTTTCGTGTTGTTGCCCATGTTGTGTGTTTTTGGCAAAAAATTTGTTAGCGCTTGTTGACAATTGTGTCGTGTAAGGGCTGCCCGAAGAATTTGAAATGTGCGGCTAGCATGTTTCCGCGGATGGACGAGTCGGGTGAGCAGAGGAGGCTGAAAGAAGTAATTTTTTGTTGGGTTTTGGATGGACAGACCGACACACTGGGTGTAAATTACATTGCCAGAACCAGAAGAGCAGAAAAGTAGCAGTTTGGAGCTGTTGCCGCTGTCAGTTGCTGTTCTGGCTGCACTCGTCAAAATGGCAATCAATCACTTGGCCAAGAATGCCCGGCCAAGACCAGACCAGACCAGACCAGGCCAGGCCAGCAGTAGACAAATGGAACCTGTTTGCGGCCAGGCACTTGGCCGAGCTATCAGTGTTAAATCTACAAGATCATTTTCCCCGCTCGGCCGCAAACCCATAATTTGTGATTGTTATAAGACCGAACCGTAACGAGTTCTCCGGACTCCGGATCGTAATAGACTCGTCGCCGGCCTAATGAATTGAAACGTTTCTGATGGCCTTGTTTGCTGCGTTTCTGCCATCGATCACGCTTTGGACTATGGATTGAGGACTCTTCTTAGTCTCCTCCTAGCCAAGCTTTTCTTGGGATTCTGGTTCTCCTATCGAGTGGAAGGAATCTCCAGCTCGGGCACGAAGTGACTGGCGAGACCGCCCGCTCAGCCAGAGTCAACAGAACTTTTGGGCCTTTGATTAGGAATCTGTTTTGGAGGAAACTCGGTCATCCTCAGAGCCTCACCTACATAGATCTGGGTTTCAAGAGTTCCTTGGCCAGTCAGCCCATTTCCATTGACGAGGCACAGAGAGAAACAAGAGCCTCTTAATCTTAAAAGCTTAAAAGTGGCAAAAATTTAAGTGATTCAGACTGGAAGTGATTCATTTCCGTTTAGTTATTTGTTTTTAAAAATAACCTAGTAAGCTTATTCTTATCTTGAAAACACTGATACTGAGTATTAAAATTCGAAAACCTTTTGTTTATTTTTCCTGTGCAGCCATCCATCCTTTGGCTTTGGTTGTGGAGCGCGCCTATCGCCAACTGTCATCATTTTCAAATTATTTCTCGTTGAATATCTAATCAAGATTCATGCATGATCGCGGCTAAATTGCTTCCAGGCAAGAAAGACGAGGCCTGGCTGGGCTCCTCTCAGGCTCCAGCATCCAGCATCCAGCACCCAGCCAGCTCTTCACGTTTTCCTGTTTGATTTTTCCACAACGTCGTCGTTTTCCATTGTTTTCCGCCCCGAGCCGACTTAATAGTGTTGTTCCTGGCCGCAATTCTTCCCGACTCCGAGAGGCTCTCTGGGGCCTGTGTATTTATTTTTCCTCCCATTTTTCTGTTTTTGGAGCCCGACAACGAATTCTGCATCGGAAATTAGCCTGACAATTGTTTTTCGAGACAATTTCGTGTACTTGGCCGGCGCATGTAATCGTTTATGTTTATGAGTCCGGTTGTTATTTCACTCGTACGAGTACGGCATACTTGAACTTTAACTTGTCTTTATTTCGCTTAATTGAAACTAGACAGCATCCGTAGGTAAATAATTCAATTACCAGCCTTTGCTGAGTCAGCTTGAACTGCAACTGCATCTGAGGAACAGGGTGCTCCAGCTTCCATCTTCCAGCTCCAATATCATTAAATTCTATTAAATTTGATGTTCATTTGGTGGCTAATTCGCTGTCGCCGCCACTTGGTGGTTATTAACTTTCGTGTGACATCTGTGACTTTGGGTGTTTGCCTCAATTGGCCGGGATGTGGGCTGGCCACTGGGCCTGCCTAGTGGGTATCACTCCGTAAATTGATGACCCCACCCGGTGACCCTCTAATTGTTTTATTAGATTTCACACAACCCGGCCACGAGCCAGCAATGGATGAGTTTCCCAGCCCCCTCCAGAGACACGCCTCTGCGAACCAATTTCAGGGTGTCCATTGTTGGCTGACTCCGATGGAAGGAGCTGGGGAATCGAATCAGCCGCGGGCCTCACACTTTTGACATTTTTATTTGCACGTTTTGTATACACACGTATATTTATTTTTATTTTTTTGCTCAAATTTACGAGTCAGCCAAGGAGGGATCGAGGTGTAAACATATTTCTTCAGCACCACCACTTCTCCGCTTCGAAATTATTATCAAAAATGCAAATCTCGGACGGTTGCGGGCATCGTAAATTGATTTTTATGCTCTTGCTTCTGTTGAAGCTCGAGAAGTGCACGGAAAATAATATTTTCTGGTTATTCGAGGCTCGAAATGCTAGTTTAAGCCTCAAACTCAGTCCTTGTGGCTCTGGACTATCGTCCCCTCTGTGTAAAATATTGCCTACATTTTATTATTTTTATATTCTTTCCACAGTTGCCTGCTACTCGTCTTGCCCAAGACCGACTCCGACTCCCCAGATAATTGAAATTGAATCCCGGAATAGAAGAAGCCCCTGAAGAACCAACAGAGGCAGCCACAATGGTGCTCGTTTTGAATGGAGTGCTGCAGGACGACTGCCCCATGGACACCAACAGCCTCTTCCTGCAGCATCCCGTCTACAGAGACTACGCCCAGCAGCTGCACTCCATCCAGGCCAAGTCGGTGGGTCCGGTGGGCCTGCTCTACCTGGGCCAGCGCGAACTGGCCGCCTCCGCCCCGCACGACAAGAACGTCAACATTATTGGGGCCGACGATGCCACCACCTGTATTATCGTTGTCGTCCGCCACTCGGGTGCGTATCCGCCACTCTCAGCCATAAATTAGCTTCCCTTTAGCTCATTAACCCCAACTGTTTCCAATTTCATGACAGGATCGGGCGCAGTGGCTATGGGCCACTTTGACGGCAGCGGCGTGGACGAGGCTGTGTGCACCATGGTGTCCCGGGTGCAGGAACTGGCCGTCGGCTATCCAGAGGGTCGCATCGAGTTGCAGTTGATTGGTGGCTACCGAGATGCCAAAGGCTATGGCGAGGATGTATTCTACAGCATAATGCGTGAGTTTTCCTTCTTGTGTTTAAAGAGTCTTTACCAATTGGATGGTCTCCTTCCAGAATCATTCCACAATCACCTTCTGGAGATCGACCTGACGCAGGCTTGCGTGGGGGAACTGAACACCATGATGCGCGGCGAGATCAACTGCCCCATCATCTATGGCGTGGGAGTCAACATCAAGACTGGCGAGATCTTTCCGGCCACCTTTCCGGACAGAGGGCCGGACCGGGAGCTGCGCGATGCACGCATCTTCATGGGAGCCCAGTCGGTGGGTACTCCTCCCAACCCATCACTTCATCCAACTAATTGTACAATTCTTTCGTAGGTACTGGATGTCTACGACTCTTCGCTGGGAATGCTGCGAATCGGACCCTTCAACTACGATCCGTTGCGCGGCGCCGATCTTTGGCTCTCCCAGACAGATGAGTTTCTGCTGCAACACCTGTCCTCCAGCCCAGACGTGGAGCCGCCACACTTTGCGCCGCAGGTACGTCCAGTCTCCCGCTGAGACGTGGCGTGATCTAATTGCCATCCTCTCGTTTCAGACGCGTGCCACCATCAAGTTTATACAGGAGAACCAGTTCCCCGCCGTCACGGTTTTCAGGGACAATCGGCCGCGCTACTACCGGCGGGACGATGCCACGGGGTGCTGGGTGCCGGTTAGATATTAAAGCTTTTAGTCCATAAGTGCTTAGTTGTTACACAATTCAAGAAACTGTCGCCGATGTTTTAGTTGTTTGGTGCATGTGCTGTTCGAGTTGTTCTCGCTCCTCCGCAAATCATATCCACTGCTTCTCGCTTGCCTTCGTTGAGTTAATTGTCTTGGCCTGTAATTGTCCTGCAATTAGCAATAGCAGTCTATTTATTATGCGAAGCGATCGTCAATAACCTCCCTCTTTTCCCAACTAGAAGCAAGATTGAGCTCCGACGTGCACTGGACGGAGATGCTTGGGACGAGCCTTAGAAATGGATCTGATACAATTGTACTGCATATGTATATAGTAAATATATGTATGTAGGTATGTAAACACCCGCATTAGCAAACCTAATATTTAAAATAGAGATCCCTAGCAAAATATATATGCGTAAACACATGTAAACGAAACGAAACAATTTCGAATACAATCATTTTAGCCCGTACTTGTAAACTGTAATCAAAAATGTAAGAAAAATATAGAAATGGCATGGCTATACATAATTTTGAATCTCTTTATTTATTTGGAACTTAATGGGTATTTAAATCTTGGGGAGTAAGCTTGACAACTATGAATAGTTTCGAATAAATGCGCGTTTTTCTGAATATATCCCAGGCTTTTATCATATGCTTAACAGCACTGTTAGCAACAGCGAAATCTTAACATATGGAGGTATTTTTCAACACTGAATTGCAGTGTTCTTTCTAGCTGCAAAAAAGCTTGTAAATCGCCAAGCTGGCAGCACTGTCGTCGTCGTTGTGGAAAAGTTGGTCGCAGTGATACTTTCTGATTTCACATTCATTTCGCGTCTAATTAATTGCTTCTTATACTACGAATTAACTATCACGGCTCACAGCCAATACGGGTGGCGCCTTGCCGAGCAGGCCCGCTTCCTTCGAGCACCCCAGGAAATTCAAAAGACTGAAAACCCCCGAAACTACAGAATCGCTGCACTTGCACACATAGACGTGTATGCATCGCGATTTCCAACATCACTAGCAATCGCAAGACTTTCTTCCACTTAATAGAGTAACCTGAAAGGGCCCCCTGCAGCCATTAAACGGGAAACTGTGCCACACTTTACCCCCAGAAACGCCGTCCGAAAAGCAAATAGAATTAAATAACAGGGAAGAGCTACATCGATAGATAGCCCAGAAGTAAAGTGGGGCGCACAGGGCGTTATTTCAGAGTTTCGCTTCAAGTCTGGACAACGACGACGACAAAACGTAAGTAGATTGGAATTTCTTAATAGCTTTCTGGCTCAACACGAAAACCGAAAAGAAAACAGTGTGCCAACTCATACAGATGTCCAGTGCCCAGTTCCATTGAACCGCATGTGGCTCTGTGAAGGAATTTGGTCAGTTACGTTCCAGGGCTGCCACACTTTTTGAATAACGGTTCCTTTTTTCGCTGCAAAAGCTTCGTGTGGCGTCGAGTGTCGCAGTTACTGAAAATACTCGGAATTCTTTTGCATTTCAGCGAACATTTGGAACCATGAACGGGCAGAGCCCCTCAAAGGTGGATCTGTACATCACGCACCTGGATCACGTTGGCCCGTACCTGAAGATATACGGCCAGGTCAACAGAGATGCCGCCTTCCTAGTTAGCAAGCGGATAGAGCAGCTGCTGCCCACATGCTTCGCCATCGAGCCAAGCTGGTCGGTGGAACGCCAGCAGGCCCTGCTCACGCCCGGCACCTTCTGTGTCTTCAAGAGGACAAATGGAGCAGCTCCCGGGGATATGGAGTACATGCGTACCCGGGTGGTCACCGCCGCGTTGGAGGGCACCAAAATGCGCATAGAAATCGAGTACCTGGACCACGGATTCAAGCGCACGGTAGATTCCCGTGATGTGAGTTCTATAACCTAAAAAGAAGGGATAGCTAATCCAACCTTTCCTGTCCTCGCAGTTACTGTTCCCCAAGCAGCCAAAGCTCCTGCAGAATCTTCCACTGCTCTGCTCGCAGTACATAGTCCTCGGCATTTGCGCCGAGTGGGACCAGTCTGACCTGGCGGTGGTCCAAAAGCTGATTGTCAACCAGACCGTCCAAATCCACATCGATCCGACGCAGATCTGCGGCCAGAAGTTTGGCAGCGTGCGCTGGAAAGATTTTGAGCTGAGCGAGTTCCTGGTCCAGCAGAAGCACATCGGCGCTCCGCTGGCCAACCAACTCATGCTGGACCACTGCAAGAAGCTCTGGAAGGACGTGCCGCAGTCTTCTCCCGAGGAGAAGAACAACAACAGCATCCACAGCACAAAGACACCGATGGACATAGCCCGGGAGCAGCTAGCTTCTCGGAGATCCCTGGCAGCTCGCCTGGATGCCCAGCGTTCGGTGAACGTTACGCCCCCCAGGCCCCTGAATGCAGAACCAGCTGAATACCCGGCCAAACAGCTGCCCCTCACCAATGTGGTAGGTTGTAGTTGAATTTCTCCGAAGCTGTTTGGACTAACAAGCCTTGTTTTTACAGACAAATGTCCAGGTGGTAGCTCCAAGCCTGGCCAATACTCAGAAGCCGGCATTTGTGCCGGGAAACCCCTACAATCGTGCCAATTACCAGCCCGCCGAGCCGGCTGCCAATCCACCTTATGTGCCCAAGATGCAGCCCCGATCGCTCCTCAATTACTTCAATGTGCGAATGAACAAACCGTTGCAGACCATGCCAGGTCCGCAGCCCATGCTTCCATACAAGCCAAGCTTGAACCAGCAGCCCAACTACGTGCCCCTGAGCTACGCTCCGCGTTTCACGCCTCCGCCGCATATGGCACTGTCGCAGCGAGCTACGCAGCGCACCATTCCGGCCTTTCGCAGTACCAGCCTAACGGTGGGCCTGACCTACGATGTGTCTGTGAGCTATGTGGAGAACGGGCCGCATCTGTTCTGGGTGCAGCTGAAGAGCTCCGACAACGATCTGGACTCGATGATGGGCCAGATCGAGCGGATGCGCCTGCAGCAGCTGGCACAAGCTCCCGAAGTCGGAACAGCATGTGTGGCCCGCTTCTCGGAGGACAGACACTTCTACCGAGCCCTCATCAGCGCCGTTTACGATCAGCGCTACCGCGTCGTGTACATCGACTACGGCAACTCTGAGCTGCTGGCCATCAGCGATATCTACCAAATACCCCCGGATCTGCTCCAGATCAAGCCGTTTGCCTTCCGCTTCGCTCTGGCCGGAACCAAGGAGATCGAGCCCATCGACGAGAGCATGAAGCAAATCTTCAAGAACTCCGCCTTGTATCACAGCTTCCAGCTCACCGTGCAGGCACCGGAAAGCGTGGGCTCCATGCAGACCTGCCATCTCAGCCAGCAAGTAAGTTTGGAGATTCGATAGCCAATCAGAGTGTCACTAATTGTGTTTTGTTTTAAGGGCAAGAGCACCCTGGAGTTCCTCCGGCAGCTGAAAAACTCTCGCCAGGCCTACCCCAAGGCTGAGAACCTCAAGAACGACGACGCCGTCGAGATCCGCTACATTGACTCCCCCAGCAACTTTTACGTCCAGAAGGTCGCCAACATTGGCGAGTTTGAGCTTCTGATGGACGAGATGTTCTCCTACTACAACGCAAACCAAAAAGTGCCTGACCAGCTGGTCCTGGGTGCTCCGTGCATCGTCAAATGCGACCAGGAGTGGTACCGAGCGGAGATCCTCCGCGTCGACGAATCTGTGATTGTCCGCCACGTGGACTTTGGCTACGAGCAGAACGTGAAACGTCATCTGATCGGCCACATTGCCGAGAAGCATCTGAAGATGCCGCGCCAGGCCATCAAGTGCTGCCTGAAGGGCTTCGAGAACAGCGAGCTGAGCAAGGACAAGATCACCGACCAGTTCGAGATGTTGGCCGAGGAGTCCAACATTCGCCGCCGCACCTTCAGCGTGCGAGTCTTCCGCATCGAACCGGACGGACTCAACGTAGTCAACCTGCTGGCCAAGAACCTGAATGTGATGAAGAAACTCTACAAACTGTCCATGCCCTTCGAACAGTACCTGTCGCTGGAAAAGGGCCAGTTTAATGGGAATGTGACGCGTACCGAGTCACTGGTGTCCTCCGAGCTGGACAAGAGCAACGTGCTCAACTCCACCAGCATTGGGGAGAGCGAGGAGCGCGTGCCATTCGTCCGCCAGCCGCAGGAAAAAGTTCCACCAGTCCAAGCCGCTGAACCTCCCAAACAGCAGCCGCCCTCTAAGAGTGGCAAGCACTCGGGCGACTGGGACAAGCGCAGTTCCACCTCCGCCAGCTCCAAGGAGAGCAAGCGGCAGCAGCCAGCCCAGCGCTTCGACCACAACCTCGACTCCAGCTTCGAAACCCAGAGCACTGGAAGCTACACCAGTGGAATGAGCTCACCCCGAAAGGGCAATCGAAATCAGGGAGGTCGCTCCCAGACCCAGTCGCCCAGGACTCAAAACGGAAAGCAGGAGGCGACCAAACATACGTGAGTATGGTTATCAGGATCACAAAGGAACTCTTAACCTAATCTCCCCCATTCCAGACGCTTCAACGAATCGCCCCGCAAGAACCAAGACGGCCAGCAGCGGAACTCGCCAAACCAGCGCTCCCAGAACGCTCCGCAGGGCTTTGCTCAGAAGCCGCAGCGGCAGAAGTCCACCCTGGACGGGACCATCAGCTCGAAGCGCTCCAGCGGCGTGGAGAGCGATGCAGCCTCGTCCACGGCCTCAGAGTCTGTGAAGCCCGAGAAGTACGTCCCGCTGGACAAGCCTTACAGTTTGCAGGAGATCAAGACCCCGGCGAAGGAGGTAGCCAGCCTGTCGTGGTGGGTGTCACCCTTCCAGTTCTATATGGTGCTGAAGTCGGCCGCCACCAAGTACGAGAACGTGCTGCGCGAGATGCGTCAGTTCTACCGCCAGAAGCAGCACCAGGCTCTGCAGCTGAAGGCGGGCTCCACAGTGGTGGTGCGCCAGCGCAAGGACAACGCCATTCTGCGAGCCACGGTGGTGGCCTGCAACCACATGATGCGCAAGTATCGGGTTTTCTGCGTGGACACCGGCAGCTTGATCACCGTCACCTCCGAGGACCTGTGGCAGCTGGAGCAGCGTTTCGCCGATCCCCCCTGCTTGGCCCATCGCTGCAGCTTCCACGGCGTGGTGGCCAACTACGACCCGGGCTACATCGTCGACCGCATGGAGAAGTATGTGCCAGTCAGTGCCAAAGTGGAGTGCGAGTTCCTCGCCAAGGAGAAGACCCCTACCAGCTCCAATAGCCACCACAGTGGAAGGTGGTACACGGTGAACATGTTTGTGAATGGGGCCTCTCTGAAGGACACGTTGGTCAAGGCTGAGTTCCTCACCGAGGTGGCTCCGGAGGTTCGTCTCAGCCTGCTGGCCGGTCAGCAGGTCAGGGGCCGGTTCACCTCCATTCGGGATATGATGAGCTTCAAGGTGCAGCTGGACTACTGCAACAATGTGGACTTGCTGTGCTGCTACGACGACGCAAAGTTCGTCAAGTCCAACCCGGATCTGGCCAGGCGCTTCAAGGAGTTCTACGAGGGCAAGTCCTTTGCACTTAATGTCAAGAGTGTCTGCGAGAACAACATGTAAGTAGTCTCAGCCTAGTCCCAGTCCTAGTTTCAGAACTGCATTCCAATCGAATCTCCCATTCAGTATTCACTTGCGACCCGTGATGCCTCTCTTCAAAGACGACCGCAAGTCCTTCGTGTGCCCCCACCCCGTGATCTTGGGCTCCTTCAAGGCCCTCGTGGTGTACATCGCCAGGCCCTACCGCGTCTTCGTCCAGCCGCAGACCATCGACTCTGCAATGAAGACTCTTTTGGACACCATGTTTGAGTTCTACAGATCCAACGGTGAGCTAGATTTCTATAGAAACTGTAACATAATGGTAATCCCACATCTCTTCACCAGGCAAGGCCATCAGGAAGGCCGAAGGGGGACAAATATGCGCCGCTCACAGCGCAGATGGAAACTGGTACAGAGCCCGCGTGTCTGGACAGGATTCAAAGGCTGAGCAAACGGAGGTCCACTATGTAGATTACGGCAACACCGAGGAGCTGAGCCGAAAAGACCTGAAGGAGCTGGCGGATCAGTTCTACAAGCACAGCAGCGGATTCGCTGTGGAGGTTAACTTGCCCTTCGGCCGCCCCAGCAATGAGGCCAAGCTGCAAGCGCGCCTTACGGAGATACTTCAGGAGCAGGTGGTCACCGTGACGTCCATTGAGATGCGTCGAAATCACCTCATCGCCGACATTATTCTGGAGAACAACCAGAGCATCACGGATATGCTCAAGGCGGAGAAGCTGACTTCCGGCCTCGATGTGGAATTCATGCGCAAGCAGCTGGACAAGGGAAAGACCCGCTGCTACGAGTACTATGATATTGTGGACCTCACCCTGGACGACGAGGAGGAGAAGGCCCGCAAAGATCAGGGAGGCGGCAGCAAGCCCAGCTCTCCCAAAAAGAAGCCACAAGGCGACAAGGACAAAGAGCCGAAGACGAGCAAGCCATCGGAGACAGCAGCTGCTCCATCGCCTGGCCCGTCTCCAGCCAGCAGTCCGAGGAAAGCGCCCACTCCCGCTCCACTGGAGCCACCACCAGTAGCTGCCCCAGTCACCGCAGTTCCAGAGCCAGAGCCAGTTGCTGAAGAGAAAGCTCCCGAGCCAGTTGAATCTGAGCCGGAGAAGCCGACCACTCCTGAGGACGACCCCTACAAAGACATGGAGAAAGTGGTGCTGAGTCACTGCGACAATCCCGGGCACTTCTTTGTCCACCCCATCGATCAGCTGGAGGAGCTGCACCGCCTCCAGGAGAACCTGCAGATAGTGTCGCCCTCGCTCCCGCAAATAAAGGTGTTTGTGGATGGCGCCGAGTGCATTTCCATGTACTCGGTGGACAAGTGCTGGTACCGCGCCAAGATCCTGGATGCCGAGCTGATGGTGCTGCAGTTCATCGACTTTGGCAACACGGACTGCGTCACCGACACCACCGATGTCCGGGAGAGCATGTGGGGGCACATCGATCCCTTCTGCCGGCCCTTCGCTCTGCCCGTCTGTCCCAAAGGCACGCTCGACTGGGTCGACGCCGCCAACAGAATCTTCAACGAGTCCTACACCAAGATTATCCACTACGAGTACCTGTCGCAGGGCGATAGCCAGACGGTCAGCTACGTGAAGCTGTACATCGAGGGCGAGGACGTGGCCAAGAAACTGATCGACGAGGGCTACGCCAAGCCCCTGGAGTACGTCGCCAGCGGCTCCAGCTGCTACATTTCGCACGTGAACGGAATCAATGACTTCTACATCCAGCTGGAGCGGGATTCGAAGGCTCTGGAGCTGATTGAAATGTTCCTGAGGGACAACGAGACCACCCTGAAGCCCCTGGAGAACTTCGAGAAGGGTGCCATTGTCGCAGCGCTCTTCGAAGACGACGAGCTCTTGTACCGAGCCCAGTTGCTGAGGGAACTGCCCGATTCCCGCTACGAGGTGCTGTTCATCGACTATGGCAACACTTCCACCACCTCCAAGTGCCTGATTTTGGCCGAGGATATAGCCAAGCTGCCGAGTCTCTCCAAGAAGTGCTCGCTCAGGCTGCCGCAGGAGTACGTCTCCTTTTCTGCCGAGGCTGAGGCTAAGTTTGCGGAGCTAACCGGCGAGGGCGAGCTGGTGTTCACCACCCAACTCTTGAAGCCCAACAAGGACTACGTCAGCATCCATCTGCTCCTGGACGGCGAGAACATCCTGGATCGCCTGCTGCCACTGTGCCAGAAGAAGGAAACAAAGGCGGCCAGCAAGGAGTCGCTGGTGGAGGGATCCGTGACCACCAAAGCGATCATAACGCACGTGGAGAACACCGCTGAGATGTTCCTGCAGTTCAGCGAGAAGGATCCCCTAATGGACAGCATTTGTGCCAAGCTGAACGACGGAGTCCTAGTGCCCAAGAAGGAGAAGGCCTGTGTGAACGAGATGTGCGTGGCCCAGTTCTCCCACGACAAGGAGTTCTATCGCGCCATCATCTTGGACGTTCTGGAGGATAGATACCGCGTCCAGTTGATAGACTATGGCAACAAGACGGAGGTGGACAAGCTGTACGAGTTGCCCGAGGAGCTGGTTCTCATTCCTCCCGTGGCCGAAGTCTGCAGCATGGAACCGTGTGTGGACTTTGACAAAAACAAGACCCTCGCCCTGGTGACCCTGGATGCGCTGCTGGACAGCTGCAACGGCAATGTGGTGGTGGAGTTCGTGGACAAGTCGGCTCGCCCACCGGTGGTTCGTTTGAAGACCAAAGACAAGAAGGGCCTGAACATCTACGACCAGCTGAGGAAGCTCATCGAGGCCGAGCTGAAGGTCATTCAGAAGAAGAACGAGAACTCCGAGTGCATCATTTCCCACGGCAGCTCCCCCAGGAGCTTCTACGTGCAGCTGAAGAACAACTCGGCGGACTTGGATGTGATTGTGAAGGCGCTTGCGGGCCTGAAGAAGGAGGAACTGCTCAACTTGGAGGGCAGCGAAAAGGACCTAATTGGCGTGTGCTTCTCCCAGGAGGACGCCTTGTTTTACCGTTGCACCATCAAGTCCATGTCGGAGGACAAGAAGAGCTTCGATGTATTTCTGGTGGACTACGGCAGCACCATGACCGTCCCCGAGGTCTGGAAGCTGCCGCAGGCTATCGGTCACATTCCAGCCTTGGCCTTGCACTGCCAACTGACCGAGATCCCCCAGGACGTGTCTGATGAGAAACTGGACGAGGCCTTTGCCGCCCTGCTGGAGCAGCACTTCGGCGAGGTCTTCCAGATAACCACCCAGCCCAACGAGGACGAATCGATGCCTCTTTCGGCCGTGTTGCGGGTCAACTACAAGGACTTTGCCCAGGAGTTCGCCAGCACGGTGGCCGGAGTGCAGAAGCCGCTGGAGGCGGAGCTGCACAACTGCATCGTGGTGCAGTACGATGATCCAAGATCGTTTTACGTGCAGATGGAGAGCGATGTGGCGGCGCTCGAAAAGATGACCGACAAGCTGTTGGATGCGGAGCAGGAGCTACCTCTGTTCACCGACCTTAAGGTGGGGGCCCTGTGCGTGGCCCAGTTCCCCGAGGACGAGGTCTTCTACCGCGCCGAGATTATCAAGGTGCTGGACGACGGCAAGTGCGAGGTGCACTTCATAGACTTTGGCAACAACGCGGTGACCCAGCAGTTCCGCCAGCTGCCCGACGACCTAACCAGGCCGGAACGCTACAGCAAACACTGCGAGCTGGAGGCGGCCACCATTTCGAAGTGCGACGTGGCCAGCCTGCAGACCTTCATCGACACGCGCTTCTCAGAGACATTCCAGGTGGAGATTCTGGCCACCAAGGGAGCGGGCACCCATGTCGTGCGGCTGTTCTACCAGAGCACCAACATAAGCGAGAAGCTGCGCCTGCAAGACGAGCAGTGATCGAAGACGCCCCCACTGGGGACACATCCCCAAAAAGGATTGCAATTCAAGAATGCTCCAAGCAGGAGGACATTGTGATTATTTTTGGCTAGAACATGCGTTGTATTATCGAGTTAGTTGAACGAGTTAAACTTATTCAAACGGAGGAGGCATATATGAGGATACCTCACGATTTGAGTTAGCCGCGAAGCTTCATTGATTTTTCATAAAAAACCAAGTGAAAGCTATTTTAATTTCATAATCAAAGAATACTGAAAAAAGGAAAACCACATTATCACCCAAAAAAATAATCAAAACGAAAAAATCGAACAAAAAAAACGAAAAAACTGTAAAAAAAAAACTCAAAAAAACAAACGAAAAATACTTCAAAAAACACTCAACAAAAAAATGAGATCTAGATACAATTTTTCTAACGGATCGGAGTTAGTCGATGGAAAAGGACGATTTATATTTATAGATTTGCTCAACATTTTATATAACCAACGAACCGCTGTTGAAGCTAGCGAGGAGTGGGGAGGACACTGAGCCCCCGGATTAATAATTTATTTTATTCTAACTTTTGATTTTGAATTCTTGATTAACACACTGAAGATTTGTTTTTGTTTTTTTTTACTACCCTTACTGTCATCTATCAAGAAAATAATGCAAAGTGAAGACTAAATAACGCAATATTGGAGTATAGGTCTATGAATAAGGCCTTTAATCGCGATATCATATTTTTCTACCATTTATTTTTCATGTTGTGAACAAAATATTAAATGCAAACCAATAAATGCGATGAAAAGTAAACCACATCCTTGCTGTTTTCTACCTGGAGGTTGACAGACCTCCTCGTACCAGGTAGCATACGAATTAGCGGTACGAAACCAGGGGGATTTATGGGTTTATGGAATCTAGAATGGACATGCTAAGGAGAAAGAATACCTGTGACAAGCTGATAACGAGGGAATTATAGCGTCTGCCCACATTTATGACAAGGGTTAAGCCCTCTATTCTTGGTACCACTGTATCGTATCGTATCATTCATCAATTTTTTATAGAAACATATAATATAGATATTTGCTGTCGTGATTACTTTATTATAGAAGAATCCCTTCACGCTGAGATCAATTTCGATTATCGTTTATTTGCTAATTGAATGAGTGGCCAGATAAATCACAAATATCCCCATTCGAGCTGTCAAAAGCCCCAAAACAATTCAATCTCCAGCGTCGTATCAGTTCCACTGCTGCTGTTATCACGGTATTACGGGAGAGCCACTTTGTTTTCCCGCTCTCTCTCCCGATCGGCTACTCTCTATGCTGCTCTTTTCCGAAATTTCCCAGCGATTTTCCGCTGCAACAGTGTCATCTTCATATGTTTAGGTCTGTGTTCGCTTTATCAGCGTTTTTCGGCCTCTGTGCTCGGAAATCGTCGGAGTCCGAAAGGGAAAAAACTGAACGATCGTTTCAATTCTACGTCTGCGGTTGAATTGGACGGTTCCGGCTATATTCTCGCTCCATAACGGTCGCCCTTTTCGCATTGTCCGGCGTACAATCGTACAATTCGGTGAAAATTGCTCATAGCATACCCTGCCTTAAAAGTTGAATTCAAAAAATATCCCAAAAATACATAAAATATATGAAATATTAATATTTGTTTCTGTGTGGAAAAAGTGTTTTGTGGAAAGTGAAAAACAATGTTTAAGGATAGCCGCCACACACATTAAATGGGATTATTTTTTAGCATTTTCTATTCCTAAGAGGTAAGTAGAAAAAGGGTTCTCTACAAGTAATTCCCTTGATATTTGGGACTATAATATTTTGGGGTCTGAGGGGTTATCATCAAACGTACAACATTCCGAGCAGATTGCACAACTGCTCTGCGTTTTCTTTATATGAAATTTTCTAATCTACAAACTTAGCATTGAAAGTGCCCAGTCTCAGTCCCCAGAGTCTCACAACAGTTCTAAGACTCTAGAAAAGCATAATGCGATAGAATCCAAGTTAAATTGATTTCAATTAGGGGAGGCGTCGGCGAACCAGCAATTGAAGGCATTTCATGATACTATAAAATGTATACTGAAAAAACACTATATATTCTTGAAAGTATACATCATATCTGGAGGAATGAAAAGGTTTAGGGGGGAAAAAGCAAAAGTGTTTATACAGTAATTAAGTCGAGCCCCACCGACCACATGCTTATCGAGGGGGAGACTAATCTTTACTGTCTGTGTTCCAGAAAAATAGCACCCAAGTACAAGAAAGCACCAGGTACCAGGTGCTGCAATCTACAAAGTAAAGTAACTAGGAAGAGGGTTCTTTGTGTGGCACCTAGAGCTCTAAATAAACAAAAGTTATGGAAACGCGATATATCTCCACCGACATTCCGATATTTTATGGCTGCAACTGTAGCTTAGGGCTCCAATCTACTGGCTTGAATTCTTTTGTTTTCCGTTTCTCCACTCTGTCGAGGGAATGGTTTCTTGATTGTATTTAATTGAAATAAATGAACGTGGTTTTTTTGTATTATTGCTCCACCATTCTTGCACTGGCCTTTTCAATTAATTTTTTTTGTTTTTTACTTCCCCTGGCATCGCTGTGATAATTTTGAAAATAACCTTACAACCGAAAGGGGAGCAAGCTCGATAAGGAACTCAAAGCACTTGACGTGCTCTGATAAGCCTTTGGTTTTGTTAACAAAATATGATTCTTGCTCAATGGCATTTCTAGAGGGGGGCTAGAGGTAACTGAGATGATGACGACAGAATCAAATAGTTCTTTCTTCACAGCATCACCGGGAAAAAGTCAAAACAAATAAATCTTTATCAGCGTAGCGTGCTCGTGAAAAATGTGAATAAATCTTGCCCCTTGGAGGGCCCCTCCAGATCTCACACACACCTGTTGGTGGGTAAGGTGAGGGGGAGATACTCCAACGAAAGATATATTATATATATTTTATATATCTGGCGGCTGGCGACGCCCACAATGTGTGACAGGAACTATCACAAGAGCACATAAATCCATTCACAAATGTTTAGAATGTTATTAAAATATTTGATACTAATTTCAGGTTTTTTTTTCATGTTCCAGCGATTTTTTAGGGGGATTTCGATTTCTTGTTGCCTTCGTTTTTTGTTATCCCCATAATCGCTTGGCCCCAACGAGCAGATAAATAATCCCTCGTCGTAATATTAATCATATTGGCGGGGCAGGCTGCAACCCGTTGGTCTTCAAGAGGTGGGTGTGGGGTGGATGGGGTGGGGAGACTCCTATCGGAGGACCATTCCGATCCGTAACCCATTTCTGCCACCCCATTCGCAGCTCCCATTGTTTGTCTGGTCTGCGGCAGCCGCTTGATTGAGCCTAATATATAAATAAATATTGAAACAAATGCGGCCAAAGTGGAAAACATAAATTCTGACCCACTCCCGTTCCACCTCCAAAGGCTAAGTCGAACGGATTTCTTGGGGGAGATCACTCCAATGGCCAAAGACGATTCTGGCCCGGCATTAGCCCTTTTTATGGCCAATTTCTTTGAATTCTAAGCTTTCCACCCTAACAAAAATTTTGATATTAAAAGCGGAAGCGAAGGGAATCTCCTCGATTCGGTATCTCCTCGATACTGTAGCTTGTGCCATAAGTTTGCAGTTGGCTCCCCGCTGTTTATATCTCCATCTTTCTCTTGCCGTACGGCTTAATTTTAATTTAAATATATGAAATATATTTATAGCCATTGTTGCGGTGGCTGTCAGTCCCAAAACGTGTGGAAATAGCTTCAATATTTTCTTGTTTGATATTTTCTGCTTCGTTTTCTTCCATTTTTTTGCTGATTCGACAGGCTGCTCTAATGACAGAGGTAGAGCACACTGGGTGGCAAAAGTATGCGCCTGCTGGGGGCCTACTACTGTCCAGCACTGTACCCAAACGCATGTGTCTCTCAAGTGGAGCGCAGCAATTTTTGGTTAAAGGCCAATCCACTTCAGGCCAGCTGACTAAAACCAAAGGGGAAATCTAATAAACGGGGGAATCATGGCCGCTAAAAGGGGCCGCGTGAATCATTCCAGATATGTTAGCTAATGGTTACTAACTTTGACTTTTTTTAAATTGATTAGCCACCTTTTGTTTCCTTTGTAACTGGAAGAGATCTTATCGATCGAATGGGGTTCAATGCGTCTTACTTCTGCCACTTGGAGGGGCTCTAAGTGATTTGCCAATTTATGGATGGATTTCGAAATGTCGTTCATCATTCGCTGGCAATTATTTTTTGAGGTAAATAGAACTTGGCCATATGCTGACACCTGACTTCGGGCCACATTATTTTGCTTGGCTTGCCAAAAATATACCTCAGCTGGGACGGCTTTTAATCCGTATGTCACCAGACCCCGCCCCTAGAAAAATTACGATACTCAGAAGATATTACTCATAAGGTTGAGTTTCCATTTTCAAAATTTTCACAAAGCAAAATATCACGCAAAGCCTGATACAAAGTCTGATACCCAACGTGGCAAACGTGCAATTTTCTAATCGCCCTTCAATGGGGCGTGACAGAGACATTAACAATGGATTCTGGCCATTTCCCAAATGTGCATTCCGAGGCGGTTTTACAGGCCCAGATCATGTCGAGATATATGTACTACTTATCCGAAGGTATAAATCACATTGAACCATTGCTATTTCTGGCCCAAAATCGATTATTGTTTCCATTCGAATCTTCGGTTCTTCGATTCGTTTTCCTTTTGTTTTTGGCAAATTGTGAAAAGTGATTCTGACACTTTGAAAAGAGCCATAAAGGCATTCTAATGGAATATCTATTTGATTTATTGCCACCCCCTATTCTGTTTGATGTTGAATTAAAAGATATATAGTACACATAGACCGATAAGATACTATATACTTTTGCCAAAAAACAGACACCGCACACTTGCTTCCTAGAAGCTCCATTAAAATGGCGGGATCCATAAAACTCTGATTCAGTTTTTATTTTGATTATAGGGCCTGCAACTATTTCCGCCAAACGAAACGGAATCATCTTTTGTATTTTATTTCTCTGATGTTCATGAATGTTGTCCGTCGAATGACACTGATTGTTTATTACGTATACGTAATATGCGCATCACTCATACGCAGACCTGGGCTTTGTTTGTTTGCATTGGAACGCTCTGGCATATATGGGTTGGATCCCAGAGCTAATTCCATTTGCAAGGTGCGGGAGATGCGCTTGATTGAGTGCTTTCAGATTCGGCTTTCGGATCCGGATCCGGATTCCACCCCTATATCATTGAAAAGCCCACTAACCCAGACCCCCGGCGATCGGCAATGATCTTGGCAATTGTTAATTCGAAAATAAACGCTGCGACCCGCCCTAATTTATTATTCTGGTTGCAATCGAGAAAATAAACAAGTTATCGCCGAAATTTACAAAGACCTCCCATTGGGTGGGTGTATTATAGTATGTACAGAAATTAAAACCAAATTATTTATTTTGGCAGAGCATGGAGCTGCATTGGCGGCTGCTGACGTTTATAGTGATTCTGCAAAGCCTGCTAGCCCAGGGATTTATCCTCCAAGATGACCGCAAGTGCAAGTACGGGCGGATCGAGAAACTCCTGCGGATCCGATGCTACGACCTGGACCTCAAGGAGGTGCCCCAAAACCTCAAGACCTCGGTGGAGGTAAGTTTCGGACAAGGCGATTACAGCGGGGTTAGAGGGTTACGATCCGTAACTTAATTCGTCATCCGACCCTCGCCACATTTACCCCCAATTGAGCTTAATTAAAGAATAAAGAAGTTGCCCACAAAACATAAATTTATCCGCAAGTGTACTACATACATATTTATATGGATGGGAACTGGGAACAATCCCCATAGAAGCCAGCCAGCCCTACCCATTCGCAACTCTCCGACTGCCATTTAATGATTTTGCAATTTGCTGGCTATTTGTGTAGGTTCTGGACCTATCGTACAATCGCATCAGGAAGCTGAAAAGTAGCTCGTTTCAGAAGTACACAGACATCAAGTTTCTGATGCTCTATGAGAACATGATCTTATCGGTGGAGCCGGGAACCTTTGAGCCGCTCACCGCGCTCCAGGTAACAACCACATCCAATTAATCAGCGACTGTCACTTTAATTAATTTGATAATCGACATGCCCAGGAAATAGATCTATCGAGTAATGGACTGACAACGATACCCCTCGAGCTCTTCCAGCTCCCACGGCTGAGAAACCTCTATATCGACAGTAATGAGCTGACTTCCCTGGATCTTAGGGGATTGGAGAAGCCCATTCGGGCGCCGCTCGAGTACCTGAACATTGCCAACTGCGAGCTCAAGGAACTGCCAGATTTTGGGATAATGCCAAGTATGATTACTTTCTTTAAAATATTAGTTGTTTAAAGCTATAAAATCTATCTATCTTTTTTAGAGCTCTGGCAACTGAATGCTTCGAGGAATCCTCTGGATAACTTCCAGGTCGACAGCCTGGCCAACTTCTGTCACCTGCAGGTCATCGATCTGACCAAGACGCAGATCAGTCAGTGCGGCTGCCAGCAGGTCACAAACCACATAATGATGCTCGGCGCCAATCCAAAGTTCGTGCCCGTTTGCTTGGGTAAGTGAGGCATTCGCCGTCCACTGCCGCAGTGAAGCAGTGGAGCAGTGGGGAGCAGCTGCTAATTTTGGCACATGACCAATATGCAATTCCATTTTCAGAGGCGCTCGACGTCCGCGAATGTCCACTGCCCTACAATCGGACGATCCACTCGGAGACATTCGCCAGTTGCCAGACGAGTGTACAGCTGGCCGAGACGAAAAACTTGTGGCTTTTTGCCGCAGTCTGTTTTGGAGGCGTGAGCTTCGTCCTCTTAGGTGAGTCTTAGAAATGACTCCATCTAATTAGTACTAATTCTGTTTCTCCTATCAGTGGTACTCTACTGCTTTGTGAGGTGCCGTCGAAAACGAGTCCAGAAACGTATGCAGAAACGCAAGCCGTTTGTGATCTCGCCCAGAAATGCCATCAACCGTCAGCCGGAGGACGAGCCTCTGCACTGTGATATTGCCCGAACCTAGCACTCTAGTTAGTTATTTAGTTTAGTGGCCAGTTATTTATTTCCTACCATTAACGCCTTAGTACAACCGTCTTTGTAGCGAATATTTTCTATTAATTTTTACCAAAATGAAACACACCAAAAACTACACACACAAAACATTACTATTGTTGAAACAGAATCAAAGGAAAACGCCTTGCTCAAATGCCAAAACTTAGCTACTTTATATAATAGGAACCCTAGTAGCGACTGTCAGCGACTGACAGATTTAAGAGTCTAATAAAAACTAAAATATATTTATAAAATTAAAAGTGTTTTCTTTATTTTATTTGAAGTAGACTTCCCCAGCGTACAGTATTTTTTAGTATTCTTTTTGAATTGGCGGCCATTTGTAAGTGTTGGTGAATCTTGCGTTTATCAACACTTGTTTGAGCGTTGATAGTTTTTTATCGATAAATTCATAAGCGGCCATTTGCAACTGCTGGGAGCCATTAAAGAGTAAATAAATATTGTTTTATTTCGGCACTATTAAATAGAATAGTTCATAATGTGTTTAATTTTCTCTTATTAAAGGTCTGGGACTTCAAAAAGAATGAAATTGCTTAGTCTTTTAAGATTATGGTGCCTATTTCAAAGACACCCCATAAGTATGCAACAGGAAACCAAAATCCCGGAAATGGAGCTCCTTTAGCTTAAAATCAAAAGGACGTTATTAAATGAGCTTAATTATTATTTGACAAAACAAAACGATAAAAAGATCAAAAGATTTTGATCGAGCTATTAAATTACCACTAAATAAGTTTCAAAATTTTAAACGCGGGCAACGGGTCAATTATTTTTAGATTTAAATCGTAGATAATGGTTGGGTATTTACAATTTTGTCAAGATTGAAGAACTTGTTTATGTTCTGGCACGATCGGCAACCCTGCTTTTCTCTTAAGAGCTCTTTTGAAATTCTCCGCTCACCTGCCCCAATCAGAGTTTGCTTTGGCACCTATATTCGCACCTTTGCGCTCTCTCTGGCTCTCTCTCATCATCGTTCTTCCGCTTATAGCCGGTCCAGCAATAGCCGGCAAGAAGAGGCAGAAATGAAATCCAAGCAAGCGGAATGCAAAATACTTTTCCTTTGGCGCCTTCCTCCTCGCTGATAGACAAACACACACACACATACAGAAATACGCCCGTATGCCACATCTCACATCTCCCACCGGCATTTGTGGGCTCTGCCGACGTCTCAGAAGTGGCATTTGGCACCGCACGGCATAGTAGCATTTATGCCCACGGCATTCGAGTTGAGGCTTCAGATTCTCGTCATTGCTCGTGGAAGGCGCATCGCATCGCCTCTCGCTCTCGTCGAATTTCAGTTTTTGTGAAAGCTCAACGGGCACGCCCACCCCCCACGTATCACGTACCACGTACCACCCACCGGAAACCCACCCGCGTGTGCTTTAATATCGAGTTAACCTTTTAATAAAACACAGACACTCTAAAACCTAACAAAATGAGCAGTAAGTTGGGATTAAATGAAATGAAAGCAAACTGCAAGCGCCAGCAAAAAAATTAAATCAAAAGAATAAAAGAAAAGAAAAGTAAAGAAAAGAGACGGCGTGTGTGTGTGTATGCATGGCTAAAGGCCCAAGGAGAAAGCCTGCCCTAAGTTAAAGCTCCTTTGGCGTTATTCCAGCTAATAATCGAATTTTTCAGACCCACTATCCGCATCCTCACATCACATAACATTCGCTTTGGGAGTTATTTTCTATAACCGAGTGATAAGCGCAAAGTTCTTATTTCAAAATCGAGCATAGAGCGGCGGTGTGTGGCCACTACGACCTTTACTGACCTTCAATAGCATTCGCCTGCCCGTTCCGCTCTCCCGTCGCCCATCCCCGTCCCCACGGTGCCGCCCTCCCCTCCTCGACCAATGCCAAGCACTAAAATGTTCCTCTATTTGTAAAAAAAAAAACGCATTGGGCATATTTGTTTGTTTATGAAAAGTATGTGCACGAAACTGCTGATAACACACGTTATGTGAGCTTCGAAGAGCGCCTGCGAATCGAACGGGGGAGAGCGAAACTACGAGAGTAAGAGAGCGCCTCCTTCACCGTTATGTTTGGTTAAATGAACGACGGGGGGAGACTCGGGGGGAGGAGCTCCATTTTGTTGTGATTCGACTTCGCTGCCCCCTCACCGTTGCGCTTTGTACCTGGCCCTTTGACGGCGAACGTAGCGCCATTAGCGCTGTTATCAGCGTTATCAGCCGAGCTATTTCCGCATCTTTGGCCCATTGAGATTAGCATTAATGGGATGCATTTCGCCTTGGCATTTTCACACGCTGACTTTCTGACGTCCAACGATCATGTTTGATGCACACTCTATACTACATACGTTCTATACCCATAACTGAATACTATACGCGATATTCTATATAATTTATAGATGTCGGTCTATTTATAGCGCCGGGTATACGTATGGGTTGGAATTATGGCTGGCGACAGCCGTTAACAAGTTTCTGTGTTCGAAAATACAATTTTTCGAAAAGTTTTCCACGCCCGAGAACATTCTTTGTGTCGCCCACTGAAATCTGCAGAGAAAGAAATGTTTAGAAATGTTTATTTTCGGAAAATGAAATTTAAATATTAAAATTTCTAGATGTTTTTTACGAAATTCCATTATCATAAGCTCTAAATAAAAGTCCCCTAATTGAAGTGATTTTTACCTTTGGATTCTGATTTAATAAATTGCATTTCAAACATGACTCCTCCCCGATTTCAGGGCCGAAATGATTTCACATTTCTCAGGCTGTGTGGGAGATACAATGTCGGCCCAGAAAATCCATTAAATCTGCACGGATTTATGCCCGCATTAATCATCAACCACGGCAGCTGTGAGTGCCTTTGCCTTGAGTTCTTAGCCCGCAGGGATCTCCAGCGGTTTGACAACCCAGCAACAGGCATGGGTCCCATTCCATCCCCCATCCCATATCTCCCTCCATGTGATTCAATTTCTAAAATTGCTGCGGTGCCTGTACCGATCCAATGCATCGCCTACCAGCAGACAGTCTCATTTTATTTCACTTCACATTTGCGGGGCTATTTTTAGTGGCCTGCTCTTTCGGATACACAGCATCTATAAGATACTCGTATACACATCGGGCGGCCGGCTAAAGATTTCCCGCAGAACTTGTTCCTCGCCCTGCACTCGCCAATTTGTGCGTTGGTGTCGCCTTGGCTCCCCATTTATTTTTTTCTCCTTTCCTGCAGTATTATGCATTCCCAATACAGTGGAGTTTCGAAAAGATACTTTTCAAGATAATGGTAGAAGCATGATTTTTTTGAAGTTATACTTTTTGTCTTAAATTGCCTATAAGTAGCAATATTTTTGGTCCTATATATTTTCGAAATTAGCAACCTGTTTGGTAAAATGGGGAAATCTAGACCCCAGACTTCTTTAAAAATATTTCTTAAATAGCCTTGTTAAGAAATTATTTACGTCCTACCATAAGGTGGCCATAAAATTAAAAAAATTCATCACAATTTTGACTGAAAGGGTACTTAAAGCCCATGGATTAGTCTGTCAAATGTCTCATCACGCTGCTGGCTAGATATATTTTCCTAATAAACAATAGCTATAAGACGCAATGGCTCACGATCTAGAAATAGAAATATTTTGAAAATTAAATACATATAACTAGCCTGTAAGGATTGGCATTAGCGGCAGAAGACTGTGCATACTTGGCTGCTAATTTGCCGGCTGCAGACTGTTGGCGACGCTTTAATGGGGACCCTGACAAACGGGTTTCCGGATGCCGACCAGAGGCCCACACCCTCAAGGTCCCGCCGACATCCCCCATTCATCTAATTGCTGACCCCATTCATGGATGGTCTGGCGTTAATCTGATCTGGGCCCAGCACGCTCCAATGGGCGCTCATTCGAGTCACTTGACCCAGACCCGAAAGCTCCAGCCACGACCTTTTTCGGCATTGCTTTGACGGGGCGCTTTATCAGCTTTATTGTGCTCAGGGCATACGTATAGCCAGGGCGCAAACGCCGCTCCAGAAGCCAGAAGAGAAGCCAGGATTTAAGAGAACCCGGTGGAGCTTTTCCATCGCCTGAAGCTCTCTTTGAACACTGCAAACAATTTCAAGTAGTGTTTTCCCCAAAATTAGCTGTCACACATGTTGCTAATTTATTTATTGTTAAGTTTAGGTGCTAAGCATATTTTAAGGAAAGTGTCGCGAACGCTTCGTTTTGACAATTTCAACAGTTGTGTTGAGAGAGGTTATTTTTGGACCGAGTGTTGTTTATTTTATTTTGTTTAAATCGCCACAAATTTATGACGTCTGTGTGAGATTCCTTTTGATCGTTGATCGTTTTCCACGCCATAAGTTTTATTGTTTTGTGAAAATTGTCTTTATTGTCATTTTTTGCACACATCCGGTAAGTCAGAAGTTATTAAAATCCATTCTAGTGTCGGCGAAAGTAAATGATTTCATTTTTATTTTAGGCACAACGATTCATTTCATGCACACACACTAGAAAAGAAAGTATCTGTGAGCTGAAGTCGCATATATCTCACCCGCCAACAAACACATACCACACATACACACAGACCCAAACACCCATGCCAACCACACACACACAAGCATTAGAGGTGTACATAGGAGGATACAAAAGCAATCTGAACTCAATCCCAACCAAGATCAGCTAAAGCTCAGCATTAGCCCGCTGTGCAGCAGCATCCATCAGTATGCTGTATCAGTATCTGTATCTGAAACCGCACATCCGTATCCGTGTCCATAGCAGCCAGAAGGTAGTTGTTGTAATCCACCTACTTGTTGTATCCTTGCTTTGACAATACCTTTCAGTTCGCTTCTCTAAAACCAAACAACCAACCAATCTGAAACTTAACCCGACTAAAGTTAGTTCAACGAATTGTACAAAGAATATATACACACACACACCCACAACCTTGTATATATCTACAGCTGTTGTCCTCTGATATCGTAGCATTAATACCCCAATAATCACAATGTTCAAAATTCGATTTACTTGTCAATAATCAAAATTGGAAATAAAAAACGACCTTTATGTTATCTCTATCTTAACTCTAATGATTTTTTAATTTTCCAACTAGACCGACCATTGCATGGATTACTAAGACTAGGGGAGAGTATTTTCGATTAAACCATAAAGACTAGACTGAATAGAGAGACTGCAACTGTTTTCTGTATAATCTAAACTAGTCTAAACTAATTCCCCACCGTGCGCGGCATCTGCCCCAAAAAATCCCATAATCGCCCCATAAACATGCACACTACATATCGAGCCAGCGCCATGAATAATTATCTATAGCTTTCGCCCAAATAAATGCCAACTACGCAAAATTCTAATTGCTCGTTTCGACTCGCCTGAAATATGCTCCGCCCGATTCTGCCAATTCTTTATGATTTTCATTTTTTTCTGCTGCCAGTTTTTGCAATTCTTTTTTTTCCGCTCTAACAAAGCAAATGAAATTTGGATGCATGTGGGTGCCGCGTGCCGCGTGCCCCGCCCACTTGCCACTTGCTGACGCACACACCACACCAGATTCTGAACCAGAACTGTACATATGTATCTATTGAATTTCATGCGGGAAACCCGACAGATAGTTGTTTATTTTTAATCCATAACTACGATGCTGTTCTTTGCTGAAACCGAAACTAATAAAATACGAAGCGAATTTCTTTGCCAGCTGCTGCAGTGAAACGTGCAATGTAACTGTAACTGCAACTTGTATCTGTATCTCTATCTCTAGCCATGTGTATCTGTGTATCTATAAAAGTGTTATTTTGCATCTATTCCCCTTTTTGTAAAATAGAGTTCGCTTGGGTGACGCTGACGACAAATGACACGTACTCACTGGGTGCCTTGGTGTTGGCCCACTCCCTGAAAAGGGCCGGCACCGCCCACCAGCTGGCCGTTTTGGTCACGCCCACCGTTTCGGAGGCGATGCGCGACAGACTAAAGGACGTGTACAACGTTGTACAAGAGGTCAATGTGCTGGACTCACAGGACGCCGCCAACCTGGCGCTCCTCGCCCGCCCCGAACTGGGTGTGACCTTCACAAAGCTCCACTGCTGGCGCCTGGTCCAGTTCGAGAAGTGCGTCTTCCTGGATGCGGACACCCTGGTCTTGCAAAACTGCGATGAACTGTTCGAGCGCGAGGAACTGTCGGCTGCTCCGGATGTTAGCTGGCCGGACTGCTTCAACTCCGGCGTGTTTGTGTTCAGACCCAGCGTGGAGACCTTCGGCCAGATCACAGAGTTCGCCGTCAAGAACGGCAGCTTCGATGGCGGCGACCAGGGCCTGCTGAATCAGTTCTTTGCCGACTGGGCGACGGCGGACATCAAGAAGCATTTGCCATTTGTTTACAATGTGACGGCCTATGCCTCCTACTGCTATCTGCCCGCCTTCAAACAGTAAGTTTCTAACTATAAGATAACGAGGCCCAGAAGGCAGGACTTAATGCGGAGATAATGTTGCATTACAGGTTCAGAGATAAGATTAAGATTTTGCATTTCGCCGGCAAACTGAAGCCCTGGCTGATTCAGTTCAACTCGGAGACGAAGACCGCCACCGTTTCGTCCGATTATGCCCACGCCCAGGATCTGATCCAGCTGTGGTGGAACATCTTCTGTGATAACGTGATCCAGTCCCTGTCCACCGATATGGTAAGTGATTTATGGACGAACTGTCTCCCACCTAGCGAACTATTTACAGCCGTTTACAAGCCTCCGAACCAGACTGAACCCGTATCGCTCGTTATCTTGAACTCAATACTAAAGCTAATCTAAGAATTTTATTGTTTAACCCCATGTACTTGTTTTGCTCGCGCCTCCCCAATATATCCCCTTCTGCTTCTTCGTTTATTAACCCGCTAAACGAAACAAATATTGAAAACCGCCAGCAAACGCCAGGAACTGCGGCGAGTGAACCAGAGATCGCTTCAGAGGTAAGCAGATAGATCTCGCCTAGCACCCACCAATCTCCCACCAAGTAGAGACCTTGAGCACCCGCAGTGTAAATATCTTAATTATAACTCAAATATTTATCTATTTATTTATCCATCTTTCTGTGCGCCAAGTAAATAACCCAAGCCAACAAACCCCCGATCCAAATCCGAACTATTTGCTATTCTTCGCCAATAGCTGACCTCGTTATCGTTTCATTTCGGCGCCGCCTCCCTCCCCCTGTTTTCTAATTTAAATACCCGCACCTTCTCTGTTCTTTTCACTTTTTTGTATTGTTTTTTAGTTTTCATTTCGAATTGCCATTTTCTGTTGATTTTTCCCCAATTAGCCGCCACGCCCCAGAGTAACCTCTTTTTTTTTTCTTTGGTAGTGGCCCCACCGACAGACATATGGACTGTTTCTCAATTGGGGGGGCTATCTGTTCTATTTAATTTATTTCTTTTGTATTTTTTTGTAATATTTGTCCAACTCTCACTGTGTGTGTGTGTGTCCCGTGTGTGTGTGTGTTCTTGTCTTAGTGTTCACTTTCTTTCTGTTTTTCTAATTTGCATCGATTTGGCCAAGTGCCAAGGAAATGTTTCAGTTTACGCCATAGATAGATGGAAATGATTCAAATCGAAAATCGGTGGGCTGGGAGGGGGTTGATGGAGGGAATTTCTCTTGAATCATTGGATATGTCCCATAACCAACACACAGACACCCACCCACCCACAACTGCACACACAAACACACACACACACACCCTGTCCTTTCTGTTCGTCCTGTTCGGGGATTTCTTTTGCAATCAACCTTTATTTTGATCAACTTGATTTACTTTCATTTACTTCTTATTTTCTTCGCTGGCTCTCCTCCCATGTTTGCGCATTCTGTAAATTGTATATCTTGCCATAATATAATCTCCGGACTGCCTGTGTAAATAAACCAATATCTAACATCGTGTCAGTGCCTCTGCTTGAACCTAACGCACTCGCCAAGCGACTATGCCGCCGACGAGCAATGGCTAGATCAGGACTACGAGCAGCGGCAGCAGCACGAGTACTACCAGCAGCAGCGGCTGCACCACCACCTGTTGCACGAGCGCCAGTTCCGCGATCCTTGGGCAGATTACTATGAGAATCTGGAGAAGGAGCAGCGGCATACGGACGAGCACGAGCAGCACAATCCCAGCCAGAACCATGACGATGGCCATGCCCATGCAAATGCGAATGCCTATGAAAGTGCCACTGAGTGGCACAATGACGATGCATGCCACCCACCATCACAGCCAACACCACCTCCACCGAATCCTCCTCAAACTCAATCCTCCACTGCCAATGCCAAAGAAGACTCTGCATCCGTAGATGTGAATAGCAATGAGCTGAACCACCCACCACCACCCGAACATGCCTTAGCCTCTGACTCTGCCATGCCCAATGCCACTGCCTCTGCCACTGCCACGCCCATGCCCACGCCTACGCCCACGCCCACGCCCTCGTCCACGCCCACGCCACATCATTCCGTGCATAGTCAGACAGTAGAAAATGCGACAAACCACCAACAAGAGCAGGAAGTCGCAGCCAAAACGGCGCCTGAGGTAAAGGCAATCAATCTAGTCCTGGCCAAGATACACAGAAAAAAATGTGGCATTCTTTGCGTTGAAAAATGTATTAAAAATATTGTTTCAAGATTAATAGATTTCTCTAAAATGAGGATAGGACATTTCAAATACCTAGAATGCCAAGCATTTTTTTCTGTGTAGAAAATCCAACCAAAAGCCAACCTCCCACCCAACCATCACCGGATAGTGGTGTTCTAGTGCAAGTTGAAGTGCAAGTGCTAGTTGATAGTGATAATGTAATCCTCTGGTTTCCGTCTAGTCACTGTTTTTGCATACGAATTGTCGCTCCTTCATTGTCCTGCGTCCTTTTGGTCATCGTTCATTGTTCATGGTAGCTGGTCCTCGGTTTAAGGTTCATGGTTCATGGTCCCCGTTTTGTTTGTGGCCTGGATAGAAGCATAAAAGCATTTGTTGATTTATTGTTAGTTGGCCTGCCACCTGGTCAAGCACACATATAAATGGAACATGGAAAACTCGTTTACTGTCCAGTGTCCACTCGTCATCGTCATCATCATTATCATCAAAGTCATTGCTGGGATATTGAGATTCAAACAGCAGCAGAAACCTCCTCTTCATCCTTGTGTTGCATGTCCACGCTCCACCTCTGTACTGTCCTTCACCGCCACATAGTAATCTGCCAGAAGGTCGACGGGAGCACTCAGTTGCACCAACGTAAGCAGCAGCAGCCAACGCGTCGTATACTTGATTTATGCCTCGAGCAGCACTCCGTTGTCATATTAATCATACGCACTGTGCACCGTAACTAACATGTACAAATGTTGCCAACTGTTTAGTAGTCTGTATGTGGTTATAATATATGTTTTGGAATTGTAATTGCATGAGAATCCTGCCAGCACACCCCCTACAAGTCCACCAAGTCCACCCCCCAGAAACCAGAAATGAAAGTCAGGGAAATTAATTTTGATTGCATACTTTCAGGCGGGCTTGGCAGGAGCCCTGTCACAGCTGAAAATTGGCGAGCAGCGCACCGCCGAGCAGGAGGCCTACGAGAACCTGATGCGCCGCCAGTGCTGGGAGTCCGGACAGATCGACTACTCCGGCGCCGATTCCTTCGACAACATCTGGAAGAAGATCACACAGACGCTGGAAAAGAAGCCCGATGCCGATCAAACTGGTAGCTCTTAGAAAACAAAAACAAAAACATATCAAAAACAAAAAAAATACTAAAAACAAGCAAACCAGAACAAACAAATGCAAATCGTTCGTTATTCGTCGTTTTGTTGCCATTTTTTTTGTACACCCACCCACACATACAGAGCACACACACTCTCCCTTCAGTCCCACAATCCCCTCCCCCGAAACACACACATATTTAACCCTTGGGAGACACACAATGTCAAGGCCCGCCCCCGCCTAATTGAAATTTAAGGTTTTTGGCAGAAAATATGGCCAGAAACGAATTCTTCCGAGTGTCATAAATGCAATTTTTATTTCGCAGCAGCACATATATTCGCATACATGGTAGCAATCTTGTTATGCCAAAAGAACTGAGCACAAAAATAAGTAAGAAACAAAAATGAAAAAAACGAACCAACGCACAGAAATTTTAATTAAGTTTTCAAATTAAACTTTTGCTGTCGCTGCTGCTGCTCTCGACATACGTGAGATGTAAGCTAGTGCGCCTGTACGAGTAAGAGTGTGTGTGCTGCGACACACTTGGCACAGTTGCCTCAATTGGGCCAACACCCAACCCCTCCTGCAATCCTACAGCACCCCAACACACACACACGAAAACACTTGGCCCCGGCCACAAACTTTTACACTTCATTGTATTTTAATTGAAAATTTTGTACTTTTGGCACTTGGTGTATTTGCCGATTTGTGATGATGACTTTTCAGCTCATCTGTATCAAAAATTCATTGTAGCATAAGGATTCTTCTCCCCACCCCTTCCCTTCTGACCCCATTGACCCTTGACCCACCACTTTGTGTACATATGAATAAAAGCCAACAATGAGTGTATAAAAAAGAGCTCTAGAAAAGAACTATTACGAAAAAAAAAATAAAGTTAAAATCAAAACTAAACTGTTGCCAACATTTTGTGGCAAGACTTATTGTGTGTATGTCAGTGTGTGTGTGTGTTTCAGTGTGTGGTGGTGTCAGCCCCGCCCATCCATCTGTGTACGCCCACTTTCGGATCGAATTCGAACATCGAGCGTACCACGTTTGTTTCAAGTGTTTTGCCGAATAACTTTTCTCTATATCCTATATTGTATCTAAAATGTATGTTATAATTTACTTTTGAAATAATGTCTTAATATTTATTCGAGAAACAGCAAACAAGAGTCCCAACAAAAACAACAACACAAACAAACTTTTCAATTTACGAAACACTGTTTTTAAATGTGCATTTTTATTTTAGTCCTAAGTTCGATTAAGTATGTTTCTTCAATTCTCCACTTGCGTTTATTGCTCTTTCAGTTGTGTACTTTTAAGCCATTGGGAAGTTTTTTTGTAGCCAGCACCATTTCATCCATCGCATCTATATATCACCCTGTACCCCTGACTATTTGGCCGATTCGAATTTAAAAGAAACCCCTCTCGTCTCGTTACCTTACCAACCGCATTTCCAGATAATGATAATGGTAGTGATACAGCTAACACACTAAGCCAGAAACAATTGCTGAGCGAGGTCGAGGAGAAGCTGAAGCAGTCCTTGCCACCGCATGTTGAGAAAAAAGCTTCCACTAACAAAGTGCTTGAGAAGAAGGAGCCAGCTCAGCCGGCTCAGCTTGACCAGCCACGCCCTAACCCATTACCGGCTAACGCTTCATCAGCTGCTGATGCTCCTGCTGCTGCCGCCTCCTCCACTTCCAGACAGAATCCACAGAGACGTCAGGAGTCGCAACCGGAAACGAAACCGAAGCCGAAACCAGAACCCCAACCGCAGCAACCTCAGCAACCGCAGCACATCACATTGCCAGCTGGAAACCGAAGCGGAAGCGGAAGCTCAAACGTCTCCAAGAACGGCAAACAGAGAGGTGGCCGCAAGCTGAAATAGCAATTACTGAACCTGCTGATGCACTACAGCTGCCTGCCACACCTGGCGTGTCGCTCTAAGGCGCGCTACCGGCGGCTGGAACCAAAACCAGACCCGGAGCCCCAACCCGTACATGTCTAATCCGGCGATTGATTCGAATCCCAGACCGACCCCCATGCTGAAAGTACAAAGTGAAAGTGAACACAAAGAAGCGAGCTGTTGACCTGTACAAAAAATAAGCTTACTAAGCGGCTCTTAGATGAGGTGACTAGGGGTTTAGCTAAAAACGATCAATTAAACAGCCTTGATAAGGTATTTATTATCAAAAATAATCAAATTTACTCTCATCGAAACATTTCAGACATGATCGTTTTTATTTGTTTCTTAAAGGAAATTGTTCTTATGATATTATTTTACTCACAACTCTTCCATTAAAGTCTTGAATGACAACGAAATATAATCGAATGCACAGTTCTGATACTTTTTTTTAATAGTTTAGGAGAAAATATTAAAATAAATTTTAATATTTAGTCTAAATGTATAGAGGAAATTAATAAAAATAAATAAAGCTTAGTTAATCAGCTTGAAAATATCATCCAAGGGTCGCTTAACTAACACTAATCGCCAGTCTGCCTTAAGGAGGAAACCAATGCAATATCGTAGAATTATAGGGTAGCCTAAGAGAAGCAAATACTAGAAATTAATCCGCAAGTGCTTTGGATAACCCCCGATGCAAATACACACACGCACATGAAGTATACTCTCTTAAGAAGAGCTTGGGATGCCAGCAGCTTCCATAAAAAACCTTAAAATATAGAAACATGTACTCTAAACACTCCATAAAATTCACACAATAGAGCTTATTACTTCCGCCGACATTGAGGACGGTAAGGTGGAGTTCGACAAGGCCACCGGCATCACCACCACCTACAAGGTGGTCGATGGCGGCTACGAGGTCATCTCCACCATTCCCCAGCCGAATGGAACCATCAAGACCCAGACCCGCACCTTCTGGGACCCCAAGCCCGTCAGTGAGGAGGACCTGAAGAAGGAGCAGGAGAACAAGAAGCTCATCCAGAAGCGGCTGGGCAAGGAGATCCGCATCGATGAACGCACCACCATGCTGACCCGGGCCATCGAAGGAGGCTACGAGGAGGTCTACACCACGGTCAACGAGGACGGTTCCCGCGCCACTCGCACCAAGACCTTCTACGACTCGGTTCCCGCCGAGGTGGACGACGCCACGGCCGCCAAGCTGAACAAGAACAAGAAGACCGTGACCAGGAAGTCGTCGGTGGACTCCACCGATTCCACGGAATCGTCTCGCCGCCTCGTCCAGAAGCAGCAGAAGAATGTGGTTCAGAACTACGAGGACCAGAAGTCGACCACCACCACCACCACTGAGCGCCGTGTGTCCGTCACCCAGAATGTGGAGATTACAGAGAACAACCGCACCGTTCGCAAGAACTCTCTCCAGGAGCAGAACATCAAGGCCGTCACCTCCACCACTGCCACCGACAGTGGCAAGAAGAAGAAGAAGACCAAGTCCTCTGCCCCACCACCGCCAGCTGACTTTGTGCAGAACGACACCACCACTGTGGCCACGAAGCGCGTGCCCGGCGGAGTGGAGTACACCTACTCGACGGAACTGGAGTCCGGCAAGACCATCACCACCTCGAAGACCGTCTACGAGGAGGAGGAGGTGGAGCTCACCGAGGAGGAGATTAAGCAGTACAAGAAGACCCTCAAGGATGCCGAGAAGCACAAGAACGTTACCACCTCCAAGAAGTTGAAGTCCGAGTCGGGCACCAAGAAGATCGTGCCCTCCGAGAATCCCGGCGACGTCACCACCGTCGAGACCATCAAGATCGAGGGCGGCACCGAATACCTTTACACCACTGTTACCGCTGAGGGTATTGTGAAGAAGGCCAAGAAGACCGTCTACGATCCGGTGCCCTGCAACAACCCCGAGGAGGACGACGAAGAGGAGATCATCGAGGAGTACGAGGAGGAGATCATTGAGCCCGGCGAGAAGAACTTCAAGACCATCGAGACGATCAAGCAGCTGCCCACCAAGTTCGAAGGTAATTGATACATAAGACCATTTAAATTATTAATCAACTAAATTATTAATTAATTAATTAATTAATGTTTTTCTTTTTTATTTGACTTTATTCCAGAGGAAGTGACCATTACCCATGAGAAGAAAGAGAAGAAGGTAAAGAAGTCCATGGTCATAAGCCAGTAAGAAACACCCGCTCACAAACACACTCAAATACTTGACACTCACTCATGTACGGCACACACCAACACACACACAACACCTACACTGAAAAGCTTTAGAATAGAGTTCTCAGCCAATCCAAACGGCTCTGCGAAGATCCCAAGCTAATTATCGTGACGTATTTCAGCATCCAGTTCAGTTAGTTGCGAGCGGTCTTTGCACGCTACTCGTTAGCTTTGTTCTCAATTACTTTGCCAGCTATCTAGTGCCCTAGAATGTATTACAAACTATCCAAAATTTATTGCGAAAGGAAACTGTCTAACCTAATTGTACCCACATTTGTTTAACAAAATAAAGATCACGTTTTGGTTCTAATTCGTCTTGACTTTCCTCTTGGGACTGGAAGCTATCGCCTGCAACAACCAGGCAAAAATGGCGAAAAATGGGAAAAGTCGTAAATTTACAATTATCAAGGGGTACCCCTTGAAAAAATTTAAAAAATTTCAAAATCGTAATTATGAATGGTTTTGTGTAAGGGATTAAGCTACTCAAAGCTCTGATCACGGAAATGTATATATTTTTCCGATCCGTTGTATATTGGAGGAGCTATGGCAATCCGAAGGGCGAAAAATGGGGAAAGTCGTAAATTTACAATTTTCAAGGTACCCCTTGAAAAAAATCGAAAAATTTAAAAATCGTATTTATGAATGGTTGTGTATGAGGGATTATGCTACTCGGACCTATGATCACGGAAATGTATATATTTTTCAGATCCGATGTATACTGGAGGAACTATGGCAATCCGAAGGGCGAAAAATGGGGAAAGTCGTAAATTAACATTTTTTAAGGGGTACCACTTGAAAAAATTCAAAAAAATTTAAAAATCGTATTTATGAATGGTTTTGTATGAGAGATTGAGCTACTCGAAGCTCTGATCACGGAAATGTATATATTTTTCCGATCCGTTGTATATTGGAGGAGCTATGGCAATCCGAAGGGCTAAAAATGGGGAAAGTCGTAAATTTAAAATTTTTAAGGGGTACCCCTTGAAAAATTCGAAAAATTTAAAAATCGTATTTATGAATGGTTTTGTATGAGAGATTGAGCTACTCGAAGCTCTGATCACGGAAATGTATATATTTTTCCGATCCGTTGTATATTGGAGGAGCTATGGCAATCCGAAGGGCTAAAAATGGGGAAAGTCGTAAATTTAAAATTTTTAAGGGGTACCCCTTGAAAAAATTCGAAAAATTTAAAAATCGTATTTATGAATGGTTTTGTATGAGAGATTGAGCTACTCGAAGCTCTGATCACGGAAATGTATATATTTTTCCGATCCGTTGTATATTGGAGGAGCTATGGCAATCCGAAGGGCTAAAAATGGGGAAAGTCGTAAATTTAAAATTTTTAAGGGGTACCCCTTGAAAAAATTCGAAAAATTTAAAAATCGTATTTATAAATGGTTTTTTATGAGGGATTAAGCTACTTGGAGCTCTGATCACGGAAATGTATATATTTTTCCGATCCGATGTGAATTGGAAGAGCTACGGCAATCCGAAGGGCAAAAAATGGGGAAAATTAAATAAAAATAGGAACGATATTATAAATATATTAACTAAATAGAGTGTAGCCCTTGTTTAATAACTAAAATGCAAAATATATGTGTCGTGGCATGGCCACTACTAAACTGATTTAAATTCCTTAAAATGACAATCCTTGTAACTTTTTAGCTCATTTTGACCTTTTGGGTTGTATTATTTCTTAATGTTTTTGTAATATTTCGACAAACAAAAAATAGAGCCAGAAAAGGTAGCAGGGTTATGGCTAGAGCCAGTCCAATGACATCCAGGAGGTAGAACTGGTACCAGGGAAGCTCCACACCAACGGACACCAAATGGGGAGCTCCTCGGTGCTCGATCACATAGTTGATCCAGTACATGGCCGTGTCCATGGCACTCAGAGGTCTATCGCGGAATATTTTAGATGCCTTCCTAATGTTGTCTCGATACTTCGGGTTCTCCAACAGCTCCAGCAAGGAACTTCGAAGCTCATCTGCGGTAAACGTTCGGTAGTCCAAGACCAGAGCAAAGCCCGACTTCTCCCCCCTCTTGAGGTTCGAATACTGATCGCCAAAGATGGGAATGCCCAGGATGGGAACTCCATAGTGCACACCCTCTTGAAGCCCAAAGAGTCCTCCGTGGGCAATGAATACCTTGACCTTGGGATGGGCCAGGATATCGCTCTGCGGCATCCACGCTTGGATCTTCACATTGGCTGGTAGATTGGGGGGCAGATTCTCATCCTCGAACTTCCACAAAACGCGCTGCTTGAGGCTGCCGAAGACATCAAGAAGTACTTGGAGCTTCTCGGGCGGCAGGTCAGCATTTCGCACTTGAGATCCTTTAAAGGATATGGAGTAGTTAGTGTCATACTAGTGTTTATTATATTTAGTTTTTACCCAAGCTGAAGTAAATGGCTCCATGAGCGGCTCCATCGAGGAACTTCTGCAGGTCTTCTGGCAGAGCCCTGGGCTCTTTAATGTGAAGTCCTCCCACCGGAATCATATTGTAGGAGAGTGGCCTTGGATAATAGGAATATTTCCTCAGGAGGTCGTCCGCGCTGCTCATGAATACATTTCCGATTCGCTCCCAGAAGGACATACGGTCGGAATACGGCATATAGAGATACGGAACATAGGACCAAGGTGAGATAATGCCAACTATTTGGCTGAAATAGTTAGCGTAACCAAAAGTTGAAATGGAAATGGCTGGAATCTGGTACAAGTGACCCAAGATGAGGGCCCCCTCATTCATAAACTGCTCCACCAATAAGAGGTCGTATTTTCCAACCTTATCCTTTGCATTAAACAAGGCCTGCAGCTCGGGAGTTTCAAAAGCAAAGTCTGTGCTTTCTGGCCCAATGGCGTGGACCATACGGGAGAAGGTGAACTTGTTTACTTCGGCCATTTCTATGACGGCATTGGTGTTGGTCAGTTCCTTCACTTAAAGGGGAAAAATATAATTTATTTTTTAAATCCAAACTTAAGATAATTATTGTAAAACCGTATACTTACTCCTGTTCCACGACGGATACCGGTCGATCACAATTTCCTTATAATTGGGACCCAAGTTTTCTTTTGCCAAGGAATGGGGTGTAATAAAGGTAACCTCATGACCTTGTTTTACCAGTTCCCTGATAATGGCATTTGTGATGACAAAGTGGCTTGTTGCTGGAAAGATAAAGGCTGCCAGGATACGAGCGCCTTCTCCCAAGTCCAGTTGCTGGAGAACCACAAGGACCAAAAGGAGTATCTGCAGTTTGTTTCTAAACTTCTGTAAATATACAGAAATTATTAGATAGCATTGAATTCCTCTATTACCCTGCTACCGAGTTGTAAATGTTTGATAAGAAAAAAGTAGAAAATAAATATAATAATATCAATCTACAAAGTCAACAAACCATTATCTTTTCTATCGTTCTCGGTGAAAAACTCTATCAAGAACCGAACCGTCTGAAGTCTTCCAGACGACTGAGAAGTGCCAGCTGATGGGACAAAGTTTTTAAGCTTCGATTTATATAAAAAGTAATGCCCATGATATGGCAGAAAAATTAGTATAGGAGAGGAACTGTCGAAATCGGCTGGGGATAGGAATTCTAGATTCTTCTGTTTTTATTCAAAAGTGTTGAGGTGCAAGTGAACGCAACTAGTTTTTGTTTTCATGCTTGAATGTAATATAATGTAGCCTAGAATGCATGTATGTGTTTTCTAGACACTAGGTTTCCTACTGATAAGAAGAGTAAAAGTCCATAGTCATCAGCTATTAGATCGCCCATTCATAAACAATTAGGCACTTGCCTCTCACACGAGCAAAGTACACAACAAACACCCAATATAAACCATAAATCAAGCTGATTAGGTGATGGATTCTTTTCTTATACCCTTGCAGAGGGTACTCTGTTTTACGCCAACTAGTATCTTAGTGATAGGTATCCAGTCTATTTTTCTATTGAAAGCAGTACATAAGTCGGAATAGGCCGGATCTGTCGATCACACCCTATAGCTGTCTTATAACTAACCGATCAGAAACTCCCTATCTTTATTAATAATGAACACCTCCATTTGAATTCGAGGGTATATCTACTTCGGCTCCGTCGAAAGTTAGCTTTCCTATCTGATTATTAATCATTGAAGTCGTTAGCATTGAGTACTTTTCATTATTTATTGATTATATTCAAAATAAATATGTATGCTAATGGCAATTCTATTGGTTATAGTACTAGTTCTTCTTAACCTTCTTCTTTTTAAGGCTTTCTGTCTTTTTTAAGAATTTTCGACAAATGAAAAAAAAACCCAGAATTGGAAGTAGCGCTACGGCTAAAGCCAGTCCGATGACATCCAGGAGATAAAACTGGTACCAAGGAAGATCCACTCCAACGGAAACTAGATGGGGAGCTCCTCGATGCTCGATTACATAGTCAATCCAGTACATGGCCGTGTCCATGGCACTCAGAGGTCTATCCCGGAATATTTTGGATGCCTTTTTCATGTTGTTCCAATACTTTGGATTTTCCAGCAACTCCAGAAGGTTTCCACGTAGCTCAGCCTCGGTAAACTTCCTGTAATCCATCAATAGAGCAATTTCTGCCCTTTTGCCCTGATTGAGGTTTGAATACTGATCGGCATAGACGGGCATTCCCAAAACTGGCACCCCGTAATGAACAGCTTCCTGGAAGCCAAAATTGCCGCCATGAGCAATGAAAACCTTGACGTTGGGATGGGCCAGAATGTCTGCCTGTGGCATCCATTTTTGGACCATTACGTTGGCAGGAAGATTGGGCAGTGACTCATCCTCGAATTTCCATAGAACCCTCTGCTTGAGGCTGCCGAAAACAGCCAGGAATATCTTGAGCTTTTCGGGTGGCAATTCGGCACTGCGGACTTGAGAGCCTGGAATGTAAAATGATTTTAGGCCTCCATTATGACCTATCCAATCAAGAATACCTACCCAAACTGAAGTAAATAGCACCATGGGTGGCTTCATCGAGAAATTTCTGAAGATTCTCAGGCAAAGCTTTGGGTTTTTGAATGTGAATTCCTCCCACAGGAATCATGTTGTAAGCGAGTGGCCTGGGCGATGTCAACGGCATATATCCATTCATTAGGATGGCGGATGTGTTACTTTCCAGTTCCTTTATAGTCGGAACTCTATCTAGCTTATTGGAGAAGTGTTTCTTGAGAACTGCGTCTTGTTTGGGGTAATAGGAGTATCTTCTTAGAAGGTCCTCTGTTCCACTCATGAACACATTGGAAATACGCTCCCAGAGGGTCATGCGATCAGAATAAGGCAAATAGAGGTGAGGAACATACGACCAAGGGGTCACAATGCCAAAAAGATGACTTAAATAGTTGGTACTACCGAAGGACAAGACCGTAACTACCGGAATTTTATACAAGTGGCCTAGAATGAGGATCCCTTCATTGTAGAACTGTTCCGCCAACAGAAGGTCGTACTTTCCGACTTTGTCCTGGGCATCAATTAAAGCCTGGATTTCCGGCTGCTCAAATGCAAAATCTGTGGTTAGCGGTCCCAATACATTAAGCATCCGGAGAAAAGTTAATTTGTTCACATCAGTCATATCCAGGATGGAGTTCACGTTGCCCATTTGCTTCACTAAGTAATTAAATAGTTTAAAATGTATTCTTGGTTTCAAAAAGACTTCACTTACTCGGCTCCCAGACGTTGGCCTGGGCTATCAAGATCTCCTTGTAGTTTGGTCCCAAGTTCTCTTTGGCCAAAGAGAAGGGTGTGATGAAGGTGACCTCGTGACCTCGTTTCACCAATTCCCGGATAATGGCATTGGTCATCATGAAGTGGCTTGAGGCGGGAAAGACAAAGGCTGCCAGGATGCGAGCTCCTTCACCCAAGTGTAGTTTTTGGAGAGCCACTAGGCTCAGAACGAGTATCTGCATGACATTAATCTTCTGTAATGATATTTAAAATACATTTGTATATTGGATATTGTGATATTGTGCTAAAGTTTTAATGCCTATTTCTAGAACACATTATGGATACTCACTGTAGAACAACTATTGCATTAAATATATATAATAACTACCTTTAATCATTAATCATTTTAAACTTTAAAAATTTTAAAAATATTTTATAAATAAAAGTAAACAAACCATATTAAAGCCGTCTATTGCTTTTCTTAAAAATCTATCAGCACCCGACTCGCCTTAAGTCTTCCAGACGACTATGAAATGCGAGCTACTGCTGTGTCGTATTTATACCTAAGGAGTACATAAAAAAAATAATAAAGATAATCCATATAATAAATTAAATGGAGCGGGGAGGTCTGTATGTTATGTTTACAAGCGTTTCAATTTATATACTTCCATACTGAAAGCTGATAAGAGATAGTTACTAGGTACACCTATAACTTAAAATTCACATAATACTGGTGATGAATATACGTCGCCGGAAACTTTTGAAATGTAAGAATTATATATTTTTGTAAAATGTAAATTAGGAAAAATATGCTTTATTTCAAATTAAGTAAAGATGCGACCGGAGCCGCACTATCCAAGGGAATTCAGACTACTGTCAGCTAGATTGATAGCAAGTCGTATCTCTCGTACCTACACAAGAGCAGATACAGAGCTCTTCCCATGAATGAGAACTTTGAAACTGGTTTTTGCTTATCAAAAAACCTAATTGGTATTCATTTGGTCATAGGTCATGAAAATAACAAATTCATTCAAAGCAATCATAGGTTTATTTTGTTTATTTGTTTCAATAAATCGTGTTTTTTCCAGTTAGACATATGGAAATAAATATGTTCAGTGGCACGGTCACTAATAAACTAACATAATTCTACAAAATGGTACCCTTCTTAGCTCTTTTTCGCCTTTTGCTTATTGATATTTCTGGGGGATTTGAAAATAATTCGACAAGCAAAGAAAAGAGCCAGAATTGGTAGCAGGGTTACGGCTAGTGCCAGTCCAATTACATCCAGGAGGTAGAACTGGTACCAGGGAAGCTCCACACCAACGGAGACTAGATGGGGAGCTCCTCGGTGCTCGATCACATAGTTGATCCAGTACATGGCCGTGTCCATGGCACTCAGAGGTCTATCGCGGAATATTTTAGATGCCTTTTTAATGTTGTCTCGATACTTCGGGTTCTCCAACAGCTCCAGCAAGGAACTTCGAAGCTCATCTGCGGTGAACGTCCGGTAGTTTAAGACCAGAGCAAAGCCCGACTTCTCCCCCCTCTTGAGGTTCGAATACTGATCGCCAAAGATGGGAATGCCCAGGATGGGAACTCCATAGTGCACACCCTCTTGAAGTCCAAAGAGTCCTCCGTGGGCAATGAATACCTTGACCTTGGGATGTGCCAGGATATCGCTCTGCGGCATCCACGCTTGGATCTTTACATTGGCTGGTAGATTGGGGGGCAGATTCTCATCCTCGAACTTCCACAAAACGCGCTGCTTGAGGCTGCCGAAGACTTCAAGAAGTATTTGGAGCTTCTCGGGCGGCAGGTCCGCATTCCGCACTTGAGATCCTTTAAAGGATATGGAGTAGTTAGTGTCTTAGTAGGGTTTATTATATTTAGTTCTTACCCAAGCTGAAGTAAATGGCTCCATGAGTGGCTCCGTCGAGAAACTTCTGCAGGTTTTCTGGCAGAGCCTTGGGCTCTTTAATGTGAAGTCCTCCCACCGGAATCATATTGTAGGAGAGTGGCCTTGGCGACGCCAATGGCATGTAACTGTTGATGAAAATAGCAGAGACATTGGCTTCTAGTTCCGCTGTGGTCGGAACTCTATCCAGCTTATCGGAAAAGTGTTTCCGAAGGACAGCGTCCTGCTCAGGATAGTAGGAAAATTTCCTCAGGAGGTCGTCCGCACCACTCGTGAATACATTTCCAATACGCTCCCAGAAGGACATGCGGTCGGAATACGGCATATAGAGATGGGGAACATAAGACCAAGGTGAGATAATGCCATGGAGTTGGCTAAAATAGTTGGCGTATCCAAAAGTAGAGATGGTAATGGCTGGAATCTGATACAAGTGGCCCAGGATGAGAGCACCCTCATTGAAGCACTGCTCCACCAACAGGAGATCGTATTTCCCAACTTTATCCTTCGCGTTGAAAAGGGCCTGGACTTCGGGGTGTTCAAAAGCGAAATCTGTGCTTTCTGGCCCAATGGTGTGAACCATACGGGAGAAGGTGAAACTGCTCACTTCAGCCATTTCTATGACGGCATTGGTGTTTGTCAGTTCCTTCACTAAAATGCAAAATAATTAAAGTTTATTTTTTAATTTTACAAAAGTAAACTTACTCCTGTTCCAGGATGGATACCGGCCAATCACAATTTCCTTATAGTTCGGTCCCAAGTTCTCTTTGGCCAAGGAGTAAGGTGTGATGAAGGTTACCTCATGACCTTGTTTCACCAGTTCCCGGATAATGGCATTTGTGATCACGAAGTGGCTTGAGGCGGGAAATATAAAGGCTGCCAGGATGCGAGCACCCTCCCCTAAATCCACTTGCTGGAGAGCCACAAGGCCCAACAGGAGTACCTGCAGTACATTCTTCCACTTCTGTAATGATATAAAAAAATATATGATTACACCTATTTCCTCAATTTTTTACATTTCACCACCGAGTTGTAAGTGTTTGATAAGAGGTAAGTGGCAAACAACCATTTTTCATCAAAAACTTTCCGTAAACCTGTTTATAAGTTTTATTGGTAATTTCACAACGATTCACGGTTCGATTTGAAAACTAAATCAACAATCAAAAAGTCAACAAACCATTATATTAACTATCGTTCTCCGCTAGAAATTCTATCAACAACCGAACCGTCTGAAGTCTCCCAGACGACTGAAAAAGGCGAGCTAGTGGGCTATGTTTTTAAGCTTCGATTTTATACAAAGTGTATTGGCCATGATATGGCAGAAAAATTAATATGGGTGAGGCACTGGCGTAATCGGTTGGAGAGCGGAATTCTAGATGTTTCTATTTTTGATTTAAGTTCACATGAACCCAATAGGTTTGATTGTTTGTTATTTTAGGTGCAAGTGGACCCAAGTATTTTCATGTTTGAATGTAATATTTATTAATCTTTTCGACATCATAGTGGGCGGCAATCTACGTTTGTGACGAACCGATGTACATACCTAATAATTTCAATCGAAAGGTACTGTTTTAATTAGATCATTTTTATCCTAAGACAACCGACATTTACCATACGGACATTAAAAAATATATTTAATATGCATAAAGTTTTGGCGACGAAAAAATGCAATTTATTTATTACACATAACTATATTATATTATATTTATACATATATTTATTACAAAACAAAAAAATTTAACATTTTTCTCAGACACGTGTGGTATCTGAAACGGACTCGTGGAAGCTTTCAGAATCACTTGACTTGACATTCACACAAGCAAAGTACACACCAAACATTCAATATAAACCAGAATCCAAATTGATAAGCCATCGGGTTATATTTTTAATAATTATTCTACCCATTAACCTTAAAACAATCGAGACAGATATTTAGTAGAGAGTTAGGTACTTTTAATCATCTATTAATAATTATAAACAAATATTTTTCATATTATATTTATTTCCAACTAACTTATAAGGCTAATTCTTCTTGACCTTTTTCTTATAAGTTTTTTTCGTCTTCTTTGAGAATTTTCGACAAATTAAAAATATACATAGAATTGGAAGAAGCACTACGGCTAAAGCCAGTCCTATGACATCCAGGAGGTAGAACTGGTACCAAGGAAGCTCCACACCAACGGAAACCAAATGGGGCGCCCCTTTATGCTCAATTACATAGTCGATCCAGTACATGGCCGTGTCCATGGCACTCAGAGGTCTATCCCGGAATATTTTGGATGCCTTTTTCATGTTGTTCCAATACTTTGGATTTTCCAGCAACTCCAGAAGGTTCGCACGTAGCTCAGCCGCGGTAAACTTCCTGTAATCCATCAATAGAGCGATTCCGGCTTTTTTGCCCTGATGGAGGTTCGAATACTGGTCGGCATAGACAGGCATTCCCAAAACTGGCACCCCGTAATGAACAGCCTCCTGGAAGCCAAAATTGCCGCCATGAGCAATGAAAACCTTGACGTTGGGATGGGCAAGAATGTCTGCCTGTGGCATCCATTTTTGGACCATTACATTGGCAGGAAGATTGGGCAGCGACTCATCCTCGAACTTCCACAGAACCCTCTGCTTGAGGCTGCCGAAGACATCCAGAAATACCTTGAGTTTTTCGGGTGGCAAATCGGCACAGCGAACTTGAGAGCCTGAAAAGGATACCGATCGTAGCATTTATTCCTCATATTTAATATCTTGAGCACTTACCCAAACTGAAGTAAATGGCCCCGTTGGAGGCGCCATCGAGGAACTTTTGTATTTTCTCTGGCAGAGGCTTGGGTGGTTGAATATGAAGTCCTCCCACAGGAATCATATTGTAGGCGAGTGGTCTGGGCGATGTCAACGGCATATATCCATTCAACAGGACGGCAGAGATATTTCTTTCAAGCTCATTTATAGTCGGAACTCTTTCCAACTTATTGGATAAGTGTTTCTTGAGAACTGCGTCTTGTTCGGGGTAATAGGAATACCTTCTTAGGAGGTCCTCTGTTCCACTCATGAACACATTGACAGTGCGCTCCCAGAGGGACATGCGATCAGAATAAGGCAAGTAGAGGTGAGGAACATACGACCAAGGGCTAACAATGCCAAAAAGTTGACTAATATAGTTGGTACCTCCATAGGTCATGGCGGTAACCACCGGAATTTTATACAAGTGTCCTAGAATAAGGATCCCCTCATTGTAGAACTGTTCTGTCAGCAGAAGGTCGTATTTTCCCACTTTGTCCTGGGCATCAATTAAAGCCTTGATTTCCGGCTGCTCAAATGCAAAATCTGTGCTAAGTGGTCCCAATACATTAACCATCCGGAGGAAGGTCAATTTGCTTACATCAGACATTTCCAGGACGGTGTTCATGTTGCTCATTTTTTTCACTAAGTAATTAAGTCAAGTGATAATAAGTAAGTGAGAAGCGCGTTATTATTTTTAATAAGATATGACTTACTCGGGTCCCAGATATTAGCCTGGGCTATCAAGATCTCCTTGTAGTTTGGTCCCAAGTTCTCTTTGGTCAAAGAGAAGGGTGTGATGAAGGTCACCTCGTGACCGCGTTTCACCAATTCCCGGATAATGGCGTTGGTCATCATGAAGTGACTTGAGGCGGGAAATACAAAGGCTGCCAGGATGCGAGCACCTTCTCCCCAGTCTACGTTTTGGAGAGACACAAGGCTCAGAACAAGTATGTGAAGATAATTCGTTATCCTCTGTAAATAGTTGGTATGTTTTATAAAAAAATGTTATAGAAAAATTAATAAAATCATAAATCGTTAATAAAGTAAACAAACCATATTGGTGTAGTTTTCGGGAAATTCGATCAGCAACCGATTCGTTTGAAGTCTTTCAGACGACTATTTGTTGCGAACTAATGCGCCTTGGCTTTTATAGCCTCTTAGATATATACAAAATTATTAAAGATAATGTATGTAATAGATTAAATGGATGGGGTACGTCTCTGTGGTGCTTATATGAGTGTTTTATTTAATCTTTATCAGTAATACTGATTACTATTAAAGCTGATAAGAGATGCTTAGTATCTATCAAAACCCAACAACCACTTAATAATGGTGACGAATCCGCCTTTAAATGTAAAGAAGTAGGAACTAGGATAAGGTAGGTTTATTTAACACATATATTTTTATTTGTATTTTTTTATTTCAATGAATACACTAGATTTTAAGGTCTTCCTTATTTTTGTAAAATTGCCAAATCATCAAATGTTTAACTCGTTTTCGTTTAGACGTATTTCACAATATTAACTAATAATGGCTTCTTTTTAAAATTTTATTTCCAGCGTTTCCTGAAAAAGAAGGTTCTTTGGTTTTTGTTAAATTATTGAAATGGCCTATTGATTGAAATGACTTAGCTTGATCACACAAATACTAAAGATCTAATGTTGTCTAATGGAAGTCCTCTTATAAGTTGGAATTAAATTTGGAGTTGGATTTGATCTTCTTTTCTAAGTCTTCTTTATCTTTTGGCTGGAACTACTTTTGGCCAAATTGAAAATTTTCCTGCAAATAACAAATATAGCCAGAGTTGCTAGGAGTGCTGCAGTTACACCAAGTCCGATCACATCCAGGAGGTAGAACTGGTACCAGGGAAGCTCCACTCCAACGGAAACTAGATGGGGAGCTCCTTTATGCTCGATTACATAGTCGATCCAGTACATGGCCGTGTCCATGGCACTCAGAGGTCTATCTCGGAATACCTTGGATGCCTTTTTAATGTTGTTCCTGAATTTGGGATTTTCCAGCAATTCGACAAGGGCATGACGGAGCTCTGCGGCAGCCAGCTCCCTGTAGTCCAAGGCTATTGCGAATCCTGCTGCCTCTGCCTGCTTTATGTTCGAATACTGATCGCCAAAGATGGGCAGTCCCAGAACAGGAACTCCGCTGTAGACCGCCTCCTGAAGGCTGAAAATTCCTCCGTGGGAAATGAACACTTTGACGTTGGGATGTGCCAAGATATCGATCTGCGGCATCCAGTTTTTCACCATCACGTTGGACGGGAGGTTGGGAAGACTCTCATCCTCAAACTTCCACAAAACCCTTTGCTTGAGGCTGCCAAAGACGTTTAGCAATAATTTGAGCTTCGCTGGCGGCAATTCCGTATTACGCACTATAGAGCCTGCAGAGGATATTGTCTTTAAAGTTGTATTCTTTTGTTTATTATCTTTAAAACTCACCCAAACTAAAGTAAATGGCTCCATGAGTGGCTCCATCGAGGAACTTCTGTAGATTCTCTGGCAGAGCCTTGGGCGGCTTGATGTGGAGTCCACCTACAGGAATCATGTTGTAGGCGAGAGGTCTAGGCGATGTCAACGGCATATATCCATTCAGCAGCACGGCAGAGATATTACTCTCCAATTCCTTTACAGTCGGAACTCTATCTAATAGCTTTGAGAAGTGTTTTTGCAGCACGGCGTCCTGTCCGGGATAGTACGAGTATCTCCTCAGAAGGTCCTCCGTTCCACTCATGAACACATTGCCAAGGCGCTCCCACAAGGACATGCGGGCCGAGTAGGGCATGTACAGATGAGGAACATACGACCAAGGTGAAACAATGCCAAACAGTTGACTAATGTAGTTGGTCCCGCCATAGGTCATGGCGGTGATGACGGGAATCTGGTACAGATGACCCAGCATGAGGGCACCCTCAGTGTAGAACTGTTCCGCCAACAGTAGGTCGTACTTTCCCATCTTTTCCTTGGCGTGTATTAGTTCTTGAATCTGAGGTTGTCTCAAAACAAAGTCTGTGCACTGGATGCCTTTGATATTGACCATTCGGAGGAAGGTCAACTTGTTTAAGTCCGCCATTTCCAGTATGGTGTTGGTGTTTGTCAGTTCTTTCACTGGGAAACCAGATTTTTCGAATACATATTTTGTTTAAAAGGAGATTCCACTTACTTATGGCCCAAGACTGGTATTGGTCAATCTCGATTTCCTTATAGTTGGGCCCTAGGTTTTCATGGGCCAGGGAAAATGGTGTGATGAAGGTGACCTCATGACCTCGCTTCACCAAATCCCTAACAATGGAGTTGGCGATGGCCTTCACCGGATACCAGGTGTTGGAGGACCACGAGGCTCAATAGAAGGATCTTCACTGTGCTCCTAATCTTCTGTAATTTTTAAAAAATGAATAATAAGTGGGTTACAAGGGCTTTACGAGAGATAATGCCCACTTTTCTCTAATCAATGGACTCCATTACTCAAGTATCAAGTTTTAACCTGTAGGTGCATCCGCACCTGGGATCGTAGATAAGAGATTTTAAATAAAAAAAACTATTACTAAAAAAAACGCAATAAGTTTGAATTTAATTAGAGAATTTCACAACATAACGAAATATTTGTTGGCAAAAATATTGTGTTTATGTATTTACAAAAAAAGCTCATAGAAGCTAAAGGTTCTTAAATTATTAACAAGTAAACAAACCATTTTGATTTCAGGTGTTTTTTTTAACGACTATTTAATGAATAGTTCCTGATAAAGCAACTGACCCGTCCGACGGATCTGAAACGACTACGAGTTCCACGCAGATAAGACGTCAATGTTTTATTATTTTTTTGTATTAAGTCTTGCAGCAATATCAGCCTGGTCCCACTATTCAGACGCTACATATTGCCATAGGGGTTAAGGCAAGCATGATACCCTCTAAAAAATTGCACAAATGTGTCAAAATTTGCAAATTCTTTAATTTTTCTTAATCTTCCTCTTGGGACTTGTGGCCGTTGTCTTGGATCTCCTTCGGCAAATAAAAATAAGCAATAGGATAGACAGTAGGATGACTGCCAGAGCCAGTCCAACGATGTCCAGTAGGTAGAACTGGTACCACGTAAGCCCCGCACCCACGGAAATAAGGTGAGGGGCTCCTCGATGCTCGATCACATAGTCGATCCAGTACATGGCCGTATCCATGGCATTCAAAGGTCTATCTCGGAATACTTTCGATGCTTGTTTCATGTTGTTCCTGAACTTTGGGTTCGTCAGCAACTCGAAGATGTTGGATCGAAGCTCTTTCTCGGTGAACTTCCTGTAATCCATCACCAACGCAAGACCTTCTTGTTTGCCTTTATTGATGGTTGGATACTGATCTCCATAGACGGGCATTCCCAAAACCGGAACTCCGTATTGGAGAGCTTCCTGAAAGCCATTTGGCCCACCATGGGAAAGGAACATTTTTACATTGGGATGAGCTAGGATGTCTGCTTGGGGCATCCACCTTTGGACCATCACATTGGTAGGAAGATTGTTCAGAGATTCATTTTCGAACTTCCACAAAACACGCTGCTTGAGGCTGCCGAAGACATCGAGGAATATCTTGAGCTTTTCTGGGGGCAACTCGGCACTGCGGACTTGAGAGCCTGAAAAGGATGTCGATTTTAGACCCATATAATTAGATATCAGATCTTGAACACTTACCCAAACTGAAGTAAATAGCTCCATAGGTGGCACCATCGAGAAAATTCTTTAGGGAATCAGGCAGAGCCTTGGGTTTCTGAATATGAATTCCTCCTACGAGAATCATGTTGTAGGCAAGAGGTCTGGGCGAAGTCAGTGGCATAAATCCATTCATGAGGATGGCAGACACATTTCTTTCCAGCTCCCTTATAGACGGAACTCTGTCCAACAGTTTGGAAAAGTGTTTCTTCAGAATGGCATCCTGTTGGGGGTAATGGGAGTATTTTCGCACCATCTCCTCTGTCGCGCACATGACCACATTTTCAATGCGTTCCCACAGGGTCATGCGGTCAGTGTAGGGCACATTGAGGTGAGGAACATAGGACCAAGGGGATATACTGCCAAATAGTCCACTCAGATAGTGGGCATGGCCAAAAGTGCTAACGGTAATGATGGGAATCTTATACAGATGGCCCATGATGAGGGCGCCCTCGTTGCGAAACTGTTCGGCCAAAAGAAGGTCGTACTTTCCCACCTTATCCTTGGCGTTTATGAAGGCTTGGATGGCAGGTTGCTCAAAAGCAAAGTCGGTGCTTTGCGTTCCAATCAGGTAGACCATTCGAAGAAAAGTAAGTCTATTCACATCCGTCATTTCCAGAACTGAGTTTGTGTTGGTCAGCTCCTTGACTATCAAATATTAGCTTTAGTTATATAATATAATGGCTGAGAATTCGTTATAATATCAACCTACCCACGGGCCAGATGGCGTATTGGTCAAACAGGACTTCGGTGTAGTTCTGACCCAAGTTCTCATGAGCCAAGGAAACAGGGGTAATGAAGGTGACTTCGTGGCCTCTTTTCACTAATTCCCGGATAATGGAATGGGTCATCATGAAGTGACTCCTGGCTGGGAAAAAGAACGCTGCCAGTATGCGGGATCCTTTCGAAAAGTCGATTTGTTGGATGGCCACAAGGCTCAAAAGAAGTATTTTTAATGCATTTTCAAGCTTCTGCAATATGATAGTACAAAAATTAGCAGTCGCCACGTGTGTTTATTTTAAAATATCACAAACCATTTCAGTTTTTTAAGAGACTACTTTTTTACAACCGAACCGTCCAAAGATTTGAACGCGAATGCGAAAAGATTTGTTATTAAAAACAAGTCTTGGAAAATTTTCCAAAAATTATAACTAATTAAAATTCGTAAACAAAGCACGTGTGCTTATTTTAAAATACTACAAACCGTTTCCGGTTTTGTAAGAGACTAGCTTTTTACAACCGAACCGTCCAAAGATTTGAACGCGAATGCGAACAGATTTTTTATTAAAAACAAGTCTTGGAAAATTTATGAAAAATTATAGCTAATTAAAATTCGTAAACAAATAGACTCGATGTTGCATTGATGATATCCGATATCCGATGAAACCACTACGAGTTCCAAGCAAATAAGAAGTCAAAGTTTCTTTCATTTGTTGTATAAAGTTAGACACTACATCTTGACATGAAGGATAAGGCAAGCATAATACCCCCTAATAAATTTAAAAAATTGGTGAAAATGCAAAAATTGTTTGAACATTTTTGATGTTTTTTTTTGGTCCAAAATCTAAAATCTGTCCAAAAATCGGTTTGCTTTTTAGTAAATATTTCAACTTCTCCTTCGCGGATTCAAAAACGGACCATCATTTTAAAATCACGACTATAGTTCAAAATTATGAGGTACCTCTTTAAAAATATACGAAAAATAGATAAAAAATAAGATTTCCATAAGATTTATTTGAGGATGACGCTACTCGAAGTGCTGAATGTGAAAGGGCATAACATTTCCAAATATGGCAATTATTGGTCGAGTTGTATTCTTTTTCCTTTAAGAATTCTTTAATTATTCTTAATCTTCCTCTTGGGACTTTTGGCCGTAGTCTTAGGTCTCCTTCGGCAAATAAAAATAAGCAGTAGGATAGGCAGAAAGAAGATTGCCAGAGCCAGTCCAACGATGTCCAGTAGGTAGAACTGGTACCACGTAAGCCCCGCACCCACGGAAATAAGGTGAGGGGCTCCTCGATGCTCGATCACATAGTCGATCCAGTACATGGCCGTGTCCATGGCACTTAGAGGTCTATCGCGGAATACTTTCGATGCTTGTTTCATGTTGTTCCTTAACTTAGGGTTCTCCAGCAACTCGAAAATGTTGGATCGAAGCTCTTCCTCGGTGAACTTCCTGTAATCAATCACCAACGCAAGACCTTCTTGTTTTCCTTTATTGATAGTTGGATACTGATCGGCATAGACGGGCATTCCCAAAACCGGAACTCCGTATTGGAGAGCTTCCTGAAAGCCATTTGGCCCACCATGGGAAAGGAACATTTTTACATTGGGATGAGCTAGGATGTCTGCTTGTGGCATCCACTTTTGGACCATCACATTGGTAGGAAGATTGTTCAGAGATTCATTTTCGAACTTCCACAAAACACGCTGCTTGAGGCTGCCGAAGACATCGAGGAATATCTTGAGCTTTTCGGGGGGCAACTCGGCACTGCGGACTTGAGAGCCTGTCAAGGATATCGATTTTAGACCCATATAATTAGCTATCAGATCTTGAACACTTACCCAAACTGAAGTAAATAGCTCCATAGGTGGCACCATCAAGGAACTTCTGCAGATTTTCAGGCAGAGCCTTGGGTTTCTCAATATGAATTCCTCCTACGGGAATCATGTTGTAGGCAAGAGGTCTGGGTGAAGTCAACGGCATAAATCCATTCATCAGGATGGCAGAGACATTTCTTTCCAGCTCCCTTATAGACGGAACTCTGTCCAACAGTTTGGAAAAATGTCTCTTCAGGATGGCATCCTGTTGTGGGTAATGGGAGTATTTTCGCAGCACCTCCTCTGTCGCGCTCATGACCACATTTTCAATGCGTTCCCACAGGGTCATGCGGTCAGTGTAGGGCACATTGAGGTGAGGAACATAGGACCAAGGGGATATACTGCCAAATAGTCCACTCAGATAGTGGGCATGGCCAAAAGTGCAAACGGTAATGATAGGAATCTGATACAGATGGCCCAGGATGAGGGCGCCCTCGTTGTAGAACTGTTCGGCCAAAAGTAGGTCGTACTTTCCAACCTTATCCTTGGCGTTTATAAAGGCTTGAACGGCAGGTTGCTCAAAAGCAAAGTCGGTGCTTTGAGTTCCAATCAGGTAGACCATTCGAAGGAAAGTTAGGCTACTCACATCCGTCATTTCCAGAACTGAGTTTGTGTTGGTCAGCTCCTTGACTATCAAATATTAGCTTTAGTTATATAATATAATGGCTGAGAATTCGTTATAATATCAACCTACCCACGGGCCAGATGGCGTATTGGTCAAACAGGACTTCGGTGTAGTTCTGACCCAAGTTCTCATGAGCCAAGGAAACAGGGGTAATGAAGGTGACTTCGTGGCCTCTTTTCACTAATTCCCGGATAATGGAATGGGTCATCATGAAGTGACTCCTGGCTGGGAAAAAGAACGCTGCCAGTATTCGAGATCCTTTCGAGAAGTCGATTTGTTGGATGGCCACAAGGCTCAAAAGAAGTATTTTTAATGCATTTTCAAGCTTCTGCAATATGATAGTACAAAAATTAAGAGTCGCCACGTGTGTTTATTTTAAAATATCACAAACCATTTCAGTTTTTTAAGAGACTAGTTTTTTACAACCGAACAGTCCAAAGATTTGAACGCGAATGCGAACAGAATTTTTATTAAAAACAAGTTTCGCAAAATGTATGCAAAAATTATAACAAATTAAAATTCGTAAACAAATAGACTTGATGTTGCATAGGTTCCGATGATATTAATAAATTCTGTTTTATTTCGTTTCTTTTAGTTTATTTACATTCTGAGTTATAAAAAATCAGTTTCAAACTTTCTTGCAAATTATGTAAATATTATGTTTCAATTCTTCTTAATCTTCTTCTTGGGGCTGTTAGCCGTCGTCTTGGAGCTCTTTCGGCAGATACCAAATAGCGCCACGATAGGCAGTAGGACTACGGCGAGAGCCAGCCCAATGACGTCCAGGAGATAGAACTGGTACCAGGGAAGCTCCACTCCTACGGAAGTAAGATGAGGGGCTCCACGATGCTCGATCACATAGTCGATCCAGTACATGGCCGTGTCCATGGCGCTCAGAGGTCTGTCGCGGAATACTTTCGAAGCCTGTTTCATGTTGTTCTTGAACTTTGGGTTCTCCAGAAGCTCAAGCAGATTCGAACGAAGCTCTTCTTCGGTGAACTTCCTGTAATCCATGACCAGGGCAAGTCCTGCCTGTTTGCCATTATTGAGGTTTGAATACTGGTCGGCATAGACGGGCATTCCCAATACTGGCACCCCGTAATTAACAGCTTCCTGGAAGCCAAAAAGTCCGCCATGGGCAATGAAAACCTTGACATTGGGATGAGCTAGGATGTCTGCCTGTGGCATCCACTTTTGCACCTTCACGTTGGCGGGGAGATTGGGCAGAGACTCATCCTCGAACTTCCACAGAACCCTCTGCTTGAGGCTGCCGAAGACATTCAGGAATATCTTCAGCTTTTCGGGGGGTAAGTCGGCACTTTGAACTTGGGAACCTGCATGGAATAAAGGATTATAGTTTCATGTTCCATATTTTACCCAATACCTTACCCAAACTAAAGTAAATGGCTCCGTGAGTGGCTCCATCGAGGAAGTTCTGGAGATTCTCTGGCAGAGCCTTTGGTGGCTTAATGTGGAGTCCTCCCACTGGAATCATATTGTAGGCGATTGGTCTGGGAGAAGCCAAAGGCACGTACTGGTTGCATAGAATAGCCGAGATATTTCTTTCAAGTTCGTTGATTGTCGGAACCCGGTCAAGTAGATGGGAGAAGTGCTTCTGCAGGATGGCATCGTGTTCGGGGTAGTACGAGTACCTTCTCATGAGGTCCTCGGTTGCACTCATGAATACATTTCCAACACGTTCCCACAGGGACATTCGATCAGTGTAGGGCATGTACAGATGCGGGACGTAGGACCAAGGGGACACAATGCCAAACAGCTGGCTGAGATAGTTGGCGTAGCCAAAGGTCGAGACGGTAATGACCGGAATCTGATACAAGTGACCCAGGATGAGAGCTCCCTCGTTGTAGAACTGTTCCACCAGGAGGAGGTCGTACTTTCCAGCCTTTTCCTTGGCATTAATGACCGCCTGAACGCCAGGCTGATCAAAGGCAAAGTCCGTGCTGTGGGTACCCATTACGTTCACCATCCGGAGGAAAGTCAACCTGTTTACGTCGGTCATTTCCATGATGGTGTTGGTGTTGGTCATCTCCTTGACTAGGGATAGCATCTAATTTGAATTTGATATTCATTTTAGTTGATTCTTACTTACTCTCCGGCCAGAAATTGTATTGGTCAATCACGATTTCCTTGTAGTTGGGACCCAGGTTCTCTTTTGCCAAGGAGAAGGGTGTAATGAAGGTGACTTCATGACCCCGTTTCACCAGTTCCCGGATAATGGCGTTGGTCATCATGAAGTGACTTTTGCCGGGAAAGAAGAAGGCGGCCAGGATGCGAGATCCCTCGCCCAGGTCGAGTTGCTGGAGAGCCACAAGGCTCACAAGAAGTATTTGAAGGGCACTCCGTAACTTCTGTAAAATGAAAAAACATACTTGTTATCACTTGGAGTGACCCATTTAGTTTTTTTCCTATCTGTAGATTTCTATTTCACCACCGATTCTAATTCCACCGAGTCTGGGTTTCTAATTGTTGATAACAGGTTGATTGAAATTTTCTTCGCGTTTTGTTTTTGCATTTTAAGCTTCTAAAAAGTTTATTAACCTTTGATAGCATCTGAGAAAGCTCGTAAAGCTTCTAGAATCTAGATATTTAATTAATTTATTTACATCAAAGGCAACAAACCATTTTGCTTCCACTTGTTTTTCTAAGAGAAGAACTATTGGCCACCGACCAGTCCGACGACTCTCAAACGACTGCAAACCGAGAGCTGATAGAGCGTTTGTATAACCTGATAGTTATACGTGTATACTATATAAAAATAATACCCATGACTCGGCGAAATCTACCGATCTAGACAAGCTTCTCTAGTTCGTGAGAGGCACGGCAAAAAATGGTGCGGCCTTTAAGTGGAGGCGGCGGCACGTGTGAGTCTAAAACAGTGGGGGGCAAAACTAACACATTTTTAAAATTTTAGTGTATGCGTAGCAGAGAAAAACAATGAGAGCAGAGAATTCACTGAGCGAAAAAACGTATTTTTTTATTTCATTTTTCGTTAATTCAAAAGTTGGAATGGGCACTAAAATTGAGTATTTTATTTTAAAAAAAGCTTTGCTAGCAACATTTCTTAAAAAAATAAAAAACTACGCTGCCCTATCTATATTCTCCATGAAGGAAAGTTTTTCCAATCCAATTTCTGAGAAAATTTTGGAAATTTTCTCAGTGGAAAAATTTTTATTTTTTAGTTTGGGCTGTCAAATGAATCAAAATGAGAGCAAATGAGAGAGCTTCTAAAAAAAATTTGAGAGTGCTCACACTGTCAGTGTGCCGGCAGCGCTGCGGCAGAATTTCCTACCCTATACTCGCGTGCTATGTAAAATGAGAGTTTGCCCACCACTGGTCTAAAACTTGTAACAACTGCGTATGGTTTATAAAACTGGCTGGTTTATGGTTTATAAAACTAAAACTTAAAATCATCCTCGTTTATGTGGAACCCTTCTGTTTAGTTAAAGTACAATTACACACGCATGAGATGCTGCCTAAGATTAATGTTTCAATGATGAAAATATTACAAAAGAAAACAATCATCGTACTTGTTTGAATTATCGTACGTGTGTTTTATTTATGTAAAATATTTGTGTTTCCAAATCCATTACAAAATCGTAAACCTCACGTAAATGTTGTTTGCTTCTTAATCAGTGTGTAAAGATTAGTTTATCTGAGACATCATAGACATCCGTATAATTATGTTGTACTTCCCAGACAGGCCCTAATGTTTCTTGGGCTTCTCTATCTTTTTGTCTTTGCTCCAAAATAGTTTCACGACCATATAAAGCAATATAATGCCAAGTATAGGAATTAAAGCCACAAAGGCTATCACATCCACAAGATAAAACTGGAACCAGTTGAGATCCAGGCCAGCGGACCGCATGTGAGGAGCTCCCCGATGCCGGATGACGTATTCCATCCAGTAGACGGCAGTTTTGCGGGCTTCCATGGGACGATCCCTGAAAATATCCGACACCCTCTGCATGTTCTCCTTATAGGTGGCGTTGTGTAGCAACTGGTCCAGGGAGTGCCTCAGAATCTCCTCGGTTATTGATTGGAAGTGCAAGCTGATGGCAAAGCCGCCCATAACCGCTTTGTTCATATTCAGGTGCTGGAAACGAATTAGTTTCAGATGTAATTAAGCCCGAAACGTAAACTATACCCACCTGGTCGCAGTATATGGGAAAACCTAGCAGGGGCACGGCATAATGGACGCCCTCCTGGGTGCCCAAGAGGCCGCCGTGGGTGATGAATACCTTGACGTTGCGGTGGGCCAGGATATCCGCTTGTGGCAGCCACTTCCGCACCATTACATTCTCGGGCAACTGTGGGATGCTTTCGTCTTCGAATTTCCATAGGACGCGCTGCCTTAGGGATCCGAATACCTTCAGGAACAGTTGCAGCATCTCGGGCGGCATTTCCTTGCTCTGGACATTGCTGCCGAGGCTGAAGTAGATGGCCCCCTCCTCGGCCCCGTCCAGAAATCTTTGCAGGTCCTCGGGGAGTGCTTTGGGCGGGTAGATGTGCATGCCACCCACCGGCACCAAGGCATCTACAGTGGGACGTGCCGTGGTCAGTGGTGCGTGACTGTTTAAGAGTATCACTGAGGTTTCCCGCTCCAACTGCCTCACCTTCGGCACCTCACCTAAAAGTGGGAGATTGTGGAGCTCAAAACACTTACTCCCCTTGCCGTCTTGACCACTCACCCAGAACCGGGCCAAAGTACTCCTGTGCCAGTGCGTCCATTTTAGGGAAATAAACGAGCAATCTGTACAAGTCCTCGTGGAACGATGTGTACGCGTTCTGGAGCCTTTCCAGGAAACTCATCCGATCGGTGAAGGCCAGAAAGCCGTGTGGCACAAAGGACCACGGTGTAATCAGTCCCACTATCTGGCTCATGTGATTGGCATAGGGCAGGGTACTGGTGGTCACCACCGGCACGTTGTAAACGCGAGCCAAGGGCAGCAGCGCCTCCTGGTAGAACTGCTCAGCCAGGAGCAGGTCAAAGACTCCCTCGGTCTCCTTGGCATGGATCAGAGCCTGGACCTTGGGCTGCTTGAGAGCATGTTCAGTGGTCTTTACTCCAATAATGTCCAGCATCTTTATGAAATCGGGGTTCGTCATCCGGGTCAGTTCGAACAGGTGTAGGGCTCCAAAGTCCAGCTTCACTGGTTTCGAATGATAATAATGAGTGTCAGTCCCTTCGGGACGATAGCCACTTACCATCGTGCCAAAAATCATAGACTGGTTCTATTAGTATCTCCGTGAAGTTACTGCCCAGGTTCTCGCTCTCCAGAGACAGGGCTGTGATCATGGTTACCTGGTGGCCGTTCTCGATGAGTTCTCTCATCAGAGCCTTGTGCATCATATAGTGCGATTTGCCTTGGATCGAATTTTATGATAGAATTTATATTTTAACTTGATAGGCAGATAGTCTCACCCGGAAAAGAGTACGCTGCCAGAATCTTAGCTCCATCCGCGGGCTGAAAGGGGGAATATAGATTCCCAGCCAGCAACAGATAACCCAGCAAAATAAAACACATCTTCGCTATTGGAAATTGAAAAACAAACTGCGGTCAGATTGTAAGCATTTATAGAATACTAATTGTTTCCACTTGATAAGGTTCTGTGGGTCTTCAACCACCCATCAATTAACGTCTATGGGTATTACGTAATTCCTGCGACTGCCAGACGATCGCGTGAATCTGGAGTTGTGGCCGCTTGAATCTCTGAGAGAATACTAATCCCAAACAGCTTTTAAAACATAGTTTTAACTGCTTGGCAATCTCAAACTAGAATTCTTTGTTCCATCTCCCCCCAAATAAATCAGACTCTGGTCACGCAAGCTTTCTTAATTTGTTTTATTTTCATTATTGAAACGTATTTGCATTTAATCGAGTTTAATGTTTAGAGCTAGGAATTAAGCAATCGATACATTAGTTGTAGCTAAATTAGTTAAATTAATTCACATATCCTACTAACGAATCATTTGTAATTTACATCAACACTCCATACTCGATATTCGATATTCGATATTCCATACAAATTAAATTTAATTCTCGTCTTTATACAAACATCACATTCGATTCGTTATGTTTCTGGTGCTTTTGTTAAAGTTGTAAAGTGTTTTGTGAGGGTGAACTCCAAGTTCGAGTTCGAGTTCGAGTTCAATTAAATTTTTAAGTACTAACTTGATATATGCAATTAACAAACTCCTTCAGCTTCGCAGTTGAAACATTGCTGGCGTGTGGGCTAAGGAATTTCTAATATTCCAATTTGAACTTTATTTTTGCGTCCAGTTAGTTGGTGAAGGTGAAGTTTTTGTGGCGAGCTGGCGGCTGGTGGGAATTATTAGTCTAAGGCCTTAAAGCTAACGAGCTTAAGTGAAATTCAATTTGTGGTTCTTGTACGTATGCAGGAGGGGGCGGTGCTTCTATGGGAGATGTTCGGGGAGATGGCCCTCGGATGGGGCCGTGCTGAACTTTGTGCTGAGCCCGGCTAATTGAGGCCAGTCGTCGAGATAAATGGCTGAGGCGGAAGCTGTTTCAGTGCAGTCGGTGCCGGTTCCATTCCATATGGCTGAACATATGGGCTCCAGCTACTCCGCCTCCGGTTCTCGTTCTCATCCTTATCCTTATCCTCCAGGAGGAATGGGGATATTCCTTATCCTTTGTGCTGTTGCTTTTCAACAAAACAAAAAGTAAACAGAAAGAAACAAGGAGCTGTGATAAATAATTCCCCCGTTGACTCTGCGGTGGCACGTGCCCAGAATGGCTACCCAGCTTCCAGTCCTAGATGTACTTGGATATGTAACGCTTCTGGATGAGTCGACCGGCCTTGCGCTTCAGTATCGTGAAGCGTATTAACTGCTAATCGCTGAAGTGCGGCGACTGCGGCGGCACACGTGGGTACAGCTGTGAAAAAGGAGTTCACACTTATAACCGTCCGTCGGGCACGTGAAGGCATTCCATCGCTACTCACCCCCAGGAGGTTCCGTGGCACGTAGCCCTCCTCGCCGCCGGCGTTCCTCGCCCACCACCACTCGTTCTCGGCATCGTCGCCCTTGCGCAGTACGATCAGGGGCTCGTTCACGTGGAAGGAGAGCTCGTCCCCGTTCTGGGCCTCGTACGAGAACACGGCGTACACATCGCCATTGTGCAGGATGCCCAGCTTCTCCTGGATGCCTAGAGGGAGAGGGAGGAACAGGATTCAATTAAATTGAAAGTCAAGTGGAAGGACTTAAGATGAAGAACAAATGGGTATCCTTTGGCTATCCCTTATAGGGCTTATAGGGATACTACTTACTGTACAAATACTCGGAGCAGCCATCGAAGCCCTCCTCGTCTTCTTCGCATTTCTCCGCCGGAGTCTCGTGGTCGGAGAGCGTGGAGGCAAACAAGCAGGCCCCGCTCTCCACCAGGAACTTTACCATCGACAGGTTGTTGCAGCTGGCGGCACAGTGCAGTGGCGTCCAGCCATCCGAATCCTGGGCATTCACATCGCAGCCAAACTCCACCAGGAATCTGTAGGGAATAACAAGGATTAGTTTAAGAAAGGAGGGAGACTTGCGGGAAGAGGACACTCACTTGACAATGTCAAAGTGGCCGGCACAGATGGCATTGTGGAGGGCTGTGATTCCCTCGTCGTTGGCCGCACTGGGGTTGGCTACCTGCATGGCCGTCTTCTTGACCAGCTCCAGCTCACCCTCCAGACTGGCGTCCAGGAGCAGGGCCAGCGGATCGAAGCTGACACGGCGGGCCAGCTTAGGCTTCCCTCCGGACGAAGATCGCTCTTTGATGTTGCTCGTCGTCGTGGGCGGTGTGGTGGTGGTAGAAGCAGTTCCAGTTGGTGAAGCAACTCCCTCTTGCCCACCAGTTCCTGGCGCCACCATGCGGTCTGGCTCATCCACGCTGGACTCACTGCTCGGCGAGTGCTGGGGCGAGGTTTCTGGCGAGGATTTCAGAGCCTCAACGGGCTGCCGCATCAGGGGCTCTGACTTGCGCTGGAGCAGGGGCTGCTGCTTGGGTTGCTGGCCATTGGCCATGGATTGGGTGGACTTCAGGCGAGGCTGTTCGAACAGGGGCTGCTTGCGAATGGTCAGAGGCTTGGCCTTGATGGGCAAGTTGTCGTTGATGTTCAGGGACTGCAGGCCGAAGGTTGCCGCCTGGGTTTTTCCGGCTAGAGATGAGGTGGCTGCTGCTGTCGTGGAGGTGGCGACTGCCGATGTTGCTGCTGCCGTGGTAGTGGCCTCCACTGGCGAGGGCTGCTCCGTGGGCGACATCTTGCTGGGCTTGGGGGGCAGTGCCGGGCGCGGATCCGTCAGCACCACGTTGGGTGCCACGCGGTTCACCTTCGGGCTGTAGGTGATCATCTTGGGTATGGAGCTGCCTGTGCTGTGGCTGTTGGTCACCGAGGTAGGCGCCACACTGCTAATGGGCTTCCGCGGCGGCACTGCCAGGTTGCTCACCTGCACCTGCAGTGGCTTGGAGGCATTGGACACAGCTATGGCCACCGACTTGCTCACTGCCCCAAGGGGCATGCTGTGCACGGTCAGCTGCTGTTGGGTGTTCCTCTCGGACAGGGTCTCGCTGGTCACCGATATCTCGTTCTTCTTGATTTGGGACTGCGACTGCTGCTGCTGATCCTGGCTGTCCTTGGCGGTGGCCTGCTGGTTCAGCTTGCTGATCAGGGCGGAGGCGGAGATGCTCTTGGGGATCTTGCTTGCGGCAGCCGGCGGAGAGGTGGCACCTTGGGCTGATGCCTTGCCTTGGTTGGTCGCTGCTGCTGCAACTTCTGCTGCCACTGCTGCTGCTTGAGCTGCCGCTGCCGCCGCTGCTGCTGCCGCGGCCGCCTCCCTGTCCCTCTTCTTAGGTCCCACCTCCGCATAGATGTGGGTAGTGCTGTCCATGGCCTCGGTCTGGGCTTGCTTCCTGAGCTCAGCTTCGGTCTTGGCACTGCCGGGACCCGCCATCAGCTTCTTGGCCAGCTTGGACTCGTCGCTCTCGCTGCTGGAACTGGTGGCTGCCACAGGCACGGACACCGGCACTGATCCCGCGAAGAAGCCACTGCTCTGCCCCAGCTTGCCCACGTGCGTCAGGTCCTGGATGAGCTGGTTCTGCTGGTTGGTGTTCGCCGTGGCTGCCGCATGCTTCATGCCCCCGCTCAGGTAGCTGGCCGTGCTGGTGATGGTCGACTTCTGGGGGGTGTGGATGAATGGCTCCACGGCCGCCACATTGCCGCGGGCTCGTCCTGCGGCCGCAGCGGCTGCGGCGGCGGCCAGTTGGTTGACCTGCTTCTGGAGCAGTTGCTGCTTGAGGGCCGCCACGCCGCCATGTTTGGTCAGATTGCTGGCAGGCTGCTGATATCCCAGGGACTGCTGTTGCTGCAGTTGTTGCTGCTGCTGCTGTAGTTGGTGCTGCTGCTGTTGCTGCTGAGCCGTGGCTGCCGCTGCAGCCGCCAGTAACTGCGCTGACTGAACATGCAACTGATGTTGTTGCTGCTGTTGCACGGAGGCCTGTTGTTGCTGCTGCTGCTGTTGTTGTTGCTGCTGCTGTTGCTGATGATGGGTGTTGGCCTGTTTCTTGCGCTGCAGGCGTGTCTGCAGCTCGTAGATGCGCTGGTCCACGGATCGCAGCTCCGCCTGCCTTTGCTGCAGTGCCTCGCGTTGCATGTGCAACCTGGCGTCCTGCTGCAGCGACAACTGGTTGCGGTACTGACATAGTTAAGAGAAATATGTACAAATTGTAAAAAACTACACAAAAATAAAAGTTGGCTTGGCAACTCACCATCAGTTCGCGTCGCAACTTCTCCAGCTCGCGGGACGCCTGGGGAGGCAGGGTCTGGGCGACGCCATTGGCGGCCGTGGCTGCCAGCAGGTTCACCGGACACCGGCGGTCACGTCGCAGCTCCTCCAGCTGCCGGGTCAGGGCCTCCACCTTGGCCACTGCCAGGCTGAGCTCCTTCTCCTTTTCACTGAACAGGGCTCGGATGGAGTCCAAATCATTGCCTACAAAGAGGGACATTGGTTTCAATAAGAGGACTAATGCGGAAGCAATGGTAGTCGAGGCTTACAAATAATAGTTTTTAAAAATACTACACATATTCAAACGTTGAAATAGGTCAACTGGTCCGAAAATAGATAATACATGCGTATTTTATAGCCTTGGAGGTGACAATTTTCAAGGAAACCCATCACGAAAAATGGACAAAAAATCGAAAAAATATTTCATCTCAGGATTTTGATGCAGAATGGTGGAGAATCGTTCCAGAAATCTTTTAAGGTACTTCGCTTGAGAATCAGATAAGAATTGGGGAAGATATAGCGTTCACTGTGGGCCCTATAGGGGAAAACCTCATTTTCCTCATTTCAAGGGATCCCATCAGGAAAAATGGACAAAAAATCGAAAAAATATTTCGTCTCAGGATTTTGATGCAGAATGGTGGAGAATCGTTCCAGAAATCTTTTAAGGTACTCCGCTTGAGAATCGGATAAGAATTGGGGAAGATATAGCTTTCACTGTGGGCCCTATAGGGGAAAACCTCATTTTCCTCATTTCAAGGGATCCCATCAGGAAAAATGGACAAAAAATCGAAAAAATATTTCGTCTCAGGATTTTGATGCAGAATGGTGGAGAATCGTTCCAGAAATCGTTTAAGGTACTCCGCTTGAGAATCAGATAAGAATTGGGGAAGATATAGCGTTCACTGTGGGCCCTATAGGGGAAAACCTCATTTTCCTCATTTCAAGGGATCCCATCACGAAAAATGAACAAAAAATTGAAAAAATATTTCGTCTCAGGATTTTGATGCAGAATGGTGGAGAATTGTTCCAGAAATCTTTTAAGGTACTTCGCTTGAGAATCGGATAAGAATTGGGGAAGATATAGCGTTCACTGTGGGCCCTATAGGGGAAAACCTCTTTTTCCTCATTTCAAGGGATCCCATCAGGAAAAATGGACAAAAAATCGAAAAAATATTTCGTCTCAGGATTTTGATGCAGAATGGTGGAGAATCGTTCCAGAAATCTTTTAAGGTACTTCGCTTGAGAATCGGATAAGAATTGGGGAAGATATAGCTTTCACTGTGGGCCCTATAGGGGAAAACCTCATTTTCCTCATTTCAAGGGATCCCATCAGGAAAAATGGACAAAAAATCGAAAAAATATTTCGTCTCAGGATTTTGATGCAGAATGGTGGAGAATCGTTCCAGAAATCGTTTAAGGTACTCCGCTTGAGAATCGGATAAGAATTGGGGAAGATATAGCGTTCACTGTGGGCCCTATAGGGGAAAGCCTCATTTTCCTCATTTCAAGGGATCCCATCAGGAAAAATGGACAAAAAATCGAAAAAATATTTCGTCTCAGGATTTTGATGCAGAATGGTGGAGAATCGTTCCAGAAATCTTTTAAGGTACTTCGCTTGAGAATAGGATAAGAATTGGGGAAGATATAGCGTTCACTGTGGGCCCTATAGGGGAAAACCTAATTTTCCTCATTTCAAGGGATCCCATCAGGAAAAATGGACAAAAAATCGAAAAAATATTTCGTTTCAGGATTTTGATGTAGAATGGTGGAGAATCGTTCCAGAAATCGTTTAAGGTATTCCGCTTGAGAATCGGATAAGAATTGGGGAAGAAACAGCCATCACTGTGGGCCCTATAGGGGAAAACCCGGAAGGGTATCTTGTTATTAATATAATATTGAAAATCCTAAAACCCAGCCAGCCCCTCAAAAGTTTCTAATGAGGTGCTTAAGTCCATGTAGTGATTCCTTTTGATTAAAATCTATTATCCCGACCGCAGCTTAATTCGTGGCGCAATTTCCTTGAGTGGGCCGCTTAATCAACGTGTTGTGGGCCAGAATCAGAATCCATTCGTTGCTGCCACTAACTATTTTATAATCGCCGCCCGCCTGCTGGCCACCCGATGGCTGGCCGTGTTTTCCTTTCTTGGATTTGGGTTGCCTGTTCAAACTAATTACAGCCACAACACTGGGCGCCAGCTCATTAACATAATACCCTTGTGTTTGGCTAGTGTATGTAGGTATGTGTGTGTAGTGAATGTGGCCAACATCTTCTTAGCCATGTTCAAGAGGCGTCGCTGCCACCGCCCACAGGCAATCATAAAGGACAACAAAGTGGCACACATACATAAATTAAATTCACACACGCAATCGTGGTGGGGGGATAAAGGAGTGGCAGGGTGGCTGGGTGGCTGGGTGGCAGGGGAGTGGCAGGGGGAAGGCCGGCACTCAACAAGGTTTAAACACATGTTAATCCAACCCGAGAACCCCTCGTTGTCTTCACTCATCCAGCGATGCTCAACTCAATTGGAGAGGGAGGCTTAGGCGAGAAAGGATACCCCAAGCAGATGCACTCGTTGCCACTTTGCCACTAACCCTGACCACCACCCTCCTCTCTTGGGTGCTTGAATTCCCTCTTTAATGGGACTAACACTCAAAAAAATGGTTTATAATGAAATCTTAAATCTAATCTCTCAGCTTTTGACCTCTAACCCTTTTGAAAGTATTTATTAATTAAATATTTAACTTTTCTTCAAAAAGTTACTCCTATTTTTTCTTAAAGGATGACCCCCATTAAGACCATAAACCTTAGTAATCCTAGTTTAAGGTATTCTCTTTAACTCGATGCACTTACTCAGTGTGACATTGTAGGTCTTCTGCAGGTCCACTTGACCCCGCAACGCTCTCAGGCGACGGAGCTTGGACTCCTGGGCCTCCACCCGCTCCCGCAGCCGCCGGAGCCGCTCGCCCTCCGCACTGGCCACGGCGCTGCGCACCTCCTGGGACTTGAGGAAGCGCAGGCGCTGCTCCTTGGTGGCCAGCAGTTGGTGCTGGCTGTCGATTTGCTGCTGCTGTCGCAATGCCATCGCCCTCAGTTCGGCTGACGTCAGCCTGCTGGGCACCTGGAATGCAGAGGGAGATTGTTGTTTGGGATTAGGACGAACACAAGATGGATACGGGATTTCAGATCGTTAGCTAGCACGCACACATCCCCCCACCTCCCCTAAGCATCACACCCCCCCAAAAAAAGTGCCAAAAATGAAATTTTACAATTTATAATCCAAGACGAGCTGAAAGTCGAAACTGAAACTGAAAGTTGTCAACGTTCGTGGTCAGCCATAAATCAAGTTATGCTTAAGCTAATTTTGGCTTTTTGTTGTGCCTCCAGATTAGATTGGAGCAGGATCCTGGACTGGGACGGGGACTGGGGGTATACTCACATTCAGCTTGGGCTCGCAGGTCACCACCACGCCCACCCGCGTCGGGCTGACGGAGGCCAAGTAGGCTGTCGAAGGCGATGACGACGCCGATGACCTGGGGGCGGGCATCAGGGAGGCGGGCGGCATCTTGGGCAGATTGCCTGAGACGGGTCGACAGACGCAGGTCAACATTTTCGACGGCTCTTTTGATTTTCGGTTTTTAACTTTGATTTATTTGAATTTAAGTTGAGTTGAGTTTGGTTTGGTTTGGTTGGTCCTTTGCTCCTTTCTTGTATGGCACTTGGAAAAATATCCTTTCTCGTTTTGGTTTTTTTTTAAAGAGTTATCTTAACTTTCTAGTGGTTTTCAGTTGCATTTTGTCTTTAATTGTGTGCTGATTTTTAAAGAATATTTTAAACTATAATTCTCATGTTTAAGTTTTTAAAAATTGACTTCCCCAATGGCCTTTGACCTTGGAAGTGTGTGATAATTAATTGCAATTTAATTCCCTTTGAGAATCTCGTTTTCTGAATTAGAAACTTAATTTTGAAAAAAGGTCTAAAATGACCGGAAATGTCAACCTGTCATTCAGCCTTCAAACTTTCTAATTAAAAAAGGTTTTAAAATCGAATCCCAGTTGCTGGTAAAGTTCTCAGAGTGTATAGCTTAGTCCTTGCAGGTCCTTTGTTTTGTTGGCAACTGCATTCTGTTGGCGGTACATTGTGGCCTTGACGGCTGCAACACCAGGAACAGGAGCTTCAAATTTGTGTGTGCCAGGGTGTGTGTGTGTTATTGTTGAAGAAAATATACGACGGACTGTGCCCCTCTATTTTCGCTCTCCTTCCTGGGAAACAGTGGGTGCCACATCCAAGGCAGTGGCAGTGGCAGTGCCAGCTGGCGCCAGCGCCTCTGCCATGTACTCGTTAATGGATTTTCAATTCAGTGCCTGATTGAAAGCACACTTTGTGTGTGGGTGTTGCCCACCAGACTGTGTGTGAGTGTTGCAGGAGTGTGTGTTGGTAAAGTGCACAAGTGTGTGCATGCGTGTGGCTGTAGTAGTGTGCGTGGTTGGACGAGTGTTTGCCGAGAACAAAGTGCGCCTGCTGGCGTTGTTGTTCTACCCTTTGCGAGGGGTATTCTGGTTTTAATGAGGAATTTGTAAGAACTATGTATTACATAGGAGATTCAAAAAGTAAGCAGGTAGAAGGGGACTTAATATACTCATATGAGTGGGGAGTTTTGAGGACATAGACTCAATCTTCAATTTAGGAGTCTTTCAGTTGTAGCTTTATCTTGAAGCTATATGTCCTTATTCAATTTTGAAAGGCAATCAGTAGGAATATTACACCAATTTGTTGTTTTATTTAAATATTTTTTTGTAAATATTATTAAGCTTATTGCTTCTTTTCCCTGACCTTTTAAAACCTTCTTAAAATTCCCTAATTAAGTCTTGCTTTGTCTTTTGGAAGAAGAAAGGCTACTAGTTAAGAAGACTAATAGTTTCTTAAATTAATTTTACTTGGAAAAGTTAGAACACTCTTTAAAGACATAATTGATATATTCTGCTAACATATGTATAAGTTTATGTTTTAACTTGAAATAGCTTTTAAAAAATCCTGAGTCTTATAATAGAAATCTCCTCTCTTCTAGGGTATATTATAGTCGACTACCTCATTCTTTCTACATTTTTGTTGCCTTGTTGGGTTGTCAGTGGCAACGGGCAGCGCCCCAAACAGCCGTGACAATAACAACGTTTGCCGCGACTACTGACGGCACTCGAAACCCTCGCAGGACCTCCAGTACCGCCAAAGAACCGTCAACTGAAACAGCAACTGCTCAGCCAACAACAACAACAACCACAGAGAGCTAAAGTCATAGTTGCGTGTACATAATCGCTGGCACTTACAATAACATAAAGGATACGAGCCGGGCGGAGCAAGAACGGCCCGGAAAATATGGAAAATCGGGCCATAGCCATAGCAGGGGTGGTAGTTGTAGTCAAATGTTATCCGAAAGGAAATACAGAACTAGCAGAACACACCCCACAATAACCCACTCAACTGGCTAAAGACCGACAGACGGCAAACAATAAAATGCCGTCACAAGGACTGACCAGGACACGTAGCTAGTGTCCACCTAGCGAGTGTCCTGTCAGCTACAAGGGAGTACTGAGAGAAGAGCCTTAAGAAATTATTTGAAACCTTACTACTCAGTAGAACGAACTCCTAACCGTTCTCTAGAAGCCTTTTATTTTTAAGCCCTAATGACCTCCCCTATCTTGGCCCAGTCCACTACTAGCTACCACCAAAATTATGCTTCTTTAGAAAGTTCCAACTTTGTTGGCAGATACTCCCTTTTTTTCGCACTGTTCACCAGCCAACTGGAGTGTTGGGAGTAGGAGGGCTCTTCGCTCTTGGCCCGGCCAAGTACAATTGGCTTCGGCCACCATCATCAAGTCCAGGGACGAATTGATGATGGCGATGGCGATGACGGTGGCTGCAATGGATTGCCTTGGCAAGAGCTGCTTCAATATTTAACCCCACAAGATGATCAGCCAGAAAGGATGACACTGAGCGGGAGCGGGACATGGAGGGAGATGGACTTGACTGCAGTGGAATTGAGGTTTATACACAGCACCCACCCCCCCGTATCACGCCCCCACTCAATTTATTGCCCCTTTAGTGGGTCACATAATACTTGTGCTGTTGCAAATAAAAAATAAGAGCACATTAAGGCGAAATGATACAAGAATACCATGTATGTAGTATGTTCTGGGGACAGTGCGTCTCACGGCTATAAATCGCGTGTAGAAGACATCAAATGTCGGAGGATCTTCCCAAAAACCACCACTGCCAGCTGTCATAAAGTTACCCGAAAGCGGTTTGTCAAAACTATTTAAAGTCTATATCTTTAGGACGTAGTTGTAGCGAACTTGGCTGGCAGCGTAATGAATTAATCTACTTTCCACCGATGCCATCTGCGCAAATATTTGCCCAAAAAAGCAAACTTTCCGCACCAACAAAAACACTGCGACCGGATGGCTTGGAGGAGGAACTGGCTGGGAAACTTGTCGAATGCATTGAAAAACCACAGAAACCAGAAACCAGAAGCCAAAGGAACATCGCCAACGCAGGCGGCGATGAATGTATCCTCCAAATTCAATGTTGCGGCATTCAGCCAACATTTTCGAGGAATATTTTCCAATTAACAAAGTTTGTCATAATAACTCGCTCTGGCTGGAATCTCCAGCATGTAACGAGCTATGTGCACCACTCCCCTCCAGCCATTTATGGGCGCTGACGAAGCTCTAAGCCGGGCGGCAGGCGGCAGCCAAAGGAGCAGTGGAGGCATTGGCGGCGCAGGACACTCTACCCGGTCGCAGTCCCTGGAATTTCAAGCATTTTCGCTGGCACAGCGCAAAGAGTGGCCCAGTACAGAGCAAGAAACATTAAATTGATTGGATTATATTAAAATCATAATCAGTTTAGTTTTTAACGAAGGGAATGCCACACTTTTGGATACAAAATCGTAAAGGGATAGAGGTTTCTTTAAAAAAGTTATGGGAAAGGACTCTCATTAGATCTATTCTATTTTTATAAAGGATACCTTGTAAGGTATTAACAGGTCTATAGTTTTCTTTAACCTTCCAAACTATAGCCACCATTTCTTTTATTCCCGAGAAGCCAGAGGCAAGGGGTATACTACTATACCATAGTGTTGAGGGTGTGGTGGCAGGGGGGCGTGGCAGAAGCCAACCAATATAATTGTACATTGAAAGATGTCGGGGAAAAGTCGCGACGTCGGTTGCCATTGTGGAAATGTTGTTGCCACTTTTTGTGTGTGTTGGGGGGGCCTGGTGTGGCATGGTCTGGCGTTGCTGGTGTTGGAGCAACAAGCACTTTATTGATTTTAGCCCTTTTTGGAGGAAGAGCTGGTGACTGAGTCGAGGCTCGAGCCTGGAAGCAGGACATCGCGTGCCCTCACGCTTATTGCTAATTTTTCCTTTTTTGTTCTACTTTTCCTTTGGCGCTCCGCTATCGGGGCTCCGTTTTCTTTCCTCTGCCTCGGCCTCTGCCCTCCCCGTCCCTGGGAGAGGTCCTTTGCCGGACAATGTCCTTGCTGCACATTTTCAAATCGATTACAAACAGGATATGCACTGCGGAAGCGTGTTTGATGGAAGTGCCAGCCGCAGCAGAACGATTAGAGAGCAACTTCTGCCATTTGACCCTCATCGCAGGACCATACATCCTGTTCTGATCCTGTCACGGATTGGATTGCCCGCCATTGCCTTTGTGGCCATTTTGTATTTTAATTAATTCCAGGTGGGGGGGGGAGAAACTTTTGCCTATTCGAGAGAATGTCCGCAACTTTGGCAATTTGTGTGCAGCGATGGGAGACGAATGAGGCCCACTCCGCCCCTTTGACGAGACAAGGACATCTGCAGTACATATACATGTATTTGCACATCAGGGATGCGAGGTACCAGGCCAAATCTGAGCTGTATCCCGACTAGGAATGTTGCATCCCTGAGAGAAGCACATCCTTGTACTGCGGACCACACACATATGGTAGCTGCGACAAGAATCCCTAGCCTTTGGCTCACCGAAATCGGGCTTCACTTTCGTGTTGGTTACTGGAGCAGACATTAGTGGCACTTTCCGCCGACCCGCCCGCCCCTGCCGACCGTGGCAAACGGTCTGTTC